GATTGAGGTATGCCATGAACACAAATGTAGGAATCAAGGAATTAACGACTTTTTTGGCACCTACTGTTTCCGTAATAAGAATAGACGGAAACTTAGAGAAGCGGTCAATAGCAACTAAGATTTTATTGCCTTTTTCATTGAAGATAAGACCAGCAAAATCTAGCTGAAGTTCTTGACTAGGACCGGACAGATTAAGGAAGAGATTGCGCCATATTAAATGCTTTAGTAGGTTTAAATTTTCTACCAAACAACGTGCACACGCGACACTTCTCGCAGGTATCAATAACTTGCCGATTTAGAAATGGCCAGCAAATTTACTCTGAGGCCGACATCATCGCCTTCTGGCACAGATGAGAACGATGCAGCCTGGCAAAAACAGCTTTACTCAAAAGCTCTGGAATTGCGAGTTTGTTGTCTACTATCACCCAATCGATGACCATCACTGTCTTGGTCCAGAACTGGGCCATTCACGAGCCTAGTTTGCCCAATGAAGTAACATCTTTGTTTATAATGGCACGTTTCATAGAACCAAGGAAGGAACCATCGTCCTCTGTTAATTCCATCAGAAGATCCGCGTCAAAGAGACCCGGTAGGCCCACTATATTTGTTTTAGATTTAGAGAGTATCGGTTTACTTCCGTTGACAGCGAAAACTCCGAGTTTAGAAGCTGTTTGCATCTTCCTTGGTTTGGACAGACGGCACCTCTGCATTGCTTCCAACAGTTGGGCACGCCCTTTTTTCCAAGTGTTGATCCGTGCAGCGAAAAACCGAGTTCTAGCGGGTCGCTCACTGGTCCTACTGTGCTGTCAGATCTGATCAATGCGAGACACGATGCCCATCTGACGAGATCGTAACGGAGGGCGATGATTAGGGCGAGTGGAGTTTGGCGAATCAATAGGAAAGTTTTCCACAAAAGTTAACAAGTCAGTCTGTTCGGCCGACGAATTTAGTACACTATTTGTGTGACTAGAAACCTTAGTATTAGTATTATTGAGATCATTCATATCGGTATCCGGTGGTTGAAGTAGATTCTTTACAAAAAGGTTTGACGTGAGATTTTCTTGAAATTTGAAGATACAACATGAAACGACTGTTTTATAAAGTTTCAGGTCGGAGACAATCATTTTGAGCGAGAGTTTCGGGACTTCGATTTTATATTAGCATAGGGGTGTTTGATTGGTCAGCTCGATCAGAGGATAACGCAACGCCCTCTATTGATGAGTAATTAGATTGACGAAATTGCATAACGCGATTTGATTGGTTACGCCACTGAGTGTTTTTATCAATACCCCCTATCGGAGAGTGACGATGATTTGGAGGAGGAGTGTAGCCATCCCTCGCTACAAACGCGACGCCCTCTTAACGATAAGAACATTAATTTGTCCTCCGCTCTGATAGGCTAGAGGAATTGATAAAATTTTGAGCTTCATTAAAAGCCTCGATAGACCTAACAACAAAAGTTCAACGTATTGAGAAGGTTTAGGGGCAGTGAAAGTAGGATAACGAGACATGTAATCAACAATGCCCAATGAAACCCCATCAACATGTATGTCTTCAAATTCAAAGTGTAGTAACCTATCGGCCCACCTGGACAGATGAGACTGATATGACTTGTTATTGTAGTTTTCATTTAAAGCAGAAAATTTAGCTGTATAATCGTTCAGTAATTGGAAAAGATTTCTCAGTAAAAACATTCGCAAAAGCTCACAGGCCCAGACGATCGCCAACAGTTCTATTCTAATTCATTTGTACTGTACTTCCCCTCCGCATTATTAAGAAAACGAGAAGCAAAAGCGATCGGTGCGCAAACATCAGGTTCGACCTCTTTCTCGAGGCAAGCTCCTAATCCATTATGATAGCATCACATTTAATTCTGAATTTCTTAGAAGAGTCATAGTGAAAGAGGTTGGAAATTTCAGAAATCAGATTAATGATATTCTTGAATGCTGTTTCTTGTTCCTCTCCACACAATAAGGACTGTTTATTACAGGATTTTAACGATTGCCGTAAATGCCCTGTGTTCGTGTGTAAATCAAGGATAAATACTTGTAAATGATTCAAAAAGCCCATAAAGGAACGCAATTGCTTTAATAATTTCGGCGGCTTGAGTGACTGAATCGCTTTAACTTTCGAAAATTTAGGAGAGTTACTTTCCTCATTGATTTGGTAATCCAACCAAGCTAATTAATTAACCGAAAACTCGCACTTACTGAATCTCAGAGTGCCCTCAGAGTCAAGTCCATAGAAGAAAAACCACCCATGGACAAGTCCATTTTCATGCAGCTAATGACACCATCAGTCACTGACATCAAGTTTTTAGCTTGCGTAAAGTGGTTTGTCCAGAAAAACGGAGTGGCGATGGGTTCCAGCCTTGCGGTAATTTTAGCTAGCCTGTGGTTTTAGAGTACGAACCACAGCTGGCAAGAAAACCCAACGAGGTCACGCACAGTGTAGCCGCTCCATCAGGACATTGTGATTGAGGCAAATACAAGCTGAGAGTCACATGCCGGAGCGCCTCATTTCGCTGTGCATCCTGTTCGGCTTGGTTTCACAGGAAATGCACTCTTCTCTTGGTCTAAAAAAGTCAACGAAATAGCCAAGTCCAAGCGCCCATGGTTCTTTCTTTGTTTATAGATCTTCAGTTAGCACCCCTCTTTCTCGCATACCAGAGGCCAAAATGCTCGGGAGATATGCAGATGATATCATCCGTACAACTTGCGCTCAGGTAGTTGAGGATATTCTGAAACAAACCAACACTCTTCAACCAGCTCTGGAGTTTACGGTCGATTTGAAGAATGATTTTTCTATTCCTTTTCTGGATATGTTGGTGACAGGAACCTCAGCAGGCATATTGAGACGACCTGGTATCAGAAACCAACGGATACAGATTTACTGATGTCCTTTTGTGCCTGTGCACCTACACGCTACAAAACTAGCATTGTACAGGGTACTTTCCACAGACTGAACAACATCACCTCTAAGTGGAGCAGCTTTCATGATGCATTGGAGAAGACGAAAATGGCGTGGCAGAAAAACCAGAATCAGCATAGTTTCTACAATCCAGTCATCTATGATACCCTTACCAAACTGTATAGGTGCTCCTGAGGATACGGTTGCGCCCAAGGAACGGAAGAAAAAACGCGAGCGAGCAGCACTTATCATGCAGTGCAGGGGATCTATTTTTGACAGGTTTGCACGCAGCGTTCGTGGCGTTGTTTCTTCCAACATCGTGTTTACTACCAGAAAGTTGAGAACAGCGCTTCCGTCGCTAAATAAGCCTATTCAGAATGAACTTAGCAATCGTGTCGTCTGCGAAATTTGATGTCCTGAATGTCAATCCAGCTTTGTGGGTCAGAAAAGCCGGCTACTAAACAAGAAGAACATTCGAAATCTGACTGTCCAGTTGGTGTAACATTCGCCCAAACATTACACAGTAAAGGGAAAAAAAAGCACGTAATGATGACTGGCAGGCATCAGTTACCTTAAATCTATTCGTTTTCACCGTTTAACCTAGCCAGTTAGTTTTTTGGTCTGCTTAGGGTTAAGCAAAATTTTAACATTTTTAGGCCATAAGTCAAAGGACTTTTGATCAGCTTTCGTTACATGCGTAGATAATCACATAGCTGGGTCTCAGATCCCCTGACTACGTGATTACCATTAAAAACACGGCTCGAAAACCATTAATTGCTGTTTTCAGTGACAGTTATATACTAGTTCCATTGGAGAAGGATTGACCTTTTCCTCTTTCTAGCTACTCATGCTCTAATTTACTTAAAAATGTTGGAGTTAATTCAAATGTTCAGGGCATTAAAAATGCTAAAAATATATGTTTATCACAGTCTCTCAGCATATATCAATCTCCGGGCACCGGGCCTCCAATTCCGTGCCTTTGGAGATGATGTCGTTTTCTCCTCAATCTCGTGGTACGGGAGGGTACGGATTCGTTCCGGCTGTCCCAAGGAGCCTTTCTCTCTGCGGATCTTCTTCAGCTAAGCATTTTATCGTGTCTTTTTATCATGATTAGAGGCTTCGTTGTTTTCGTGTTTTTCTTCAACTGGTTTCCGTCTTGTTAACTCGTCGAGTGTGTTTTCGAACTGTTCTTATTCTCCTTATCCGGTCAAAATGGTCGCTTCTACGCCTCTCAGGAATACTCAGTCCAAATTGAAAATTTGAAAATTCGAAATTCGGTAACATTCCTATCCTACTCCCTCGAAACGAATTTGTAGCTAACGTCGCGACTGCCTGGTTTCGTTCTCTTCGGAGGGTTCGACTGTGCCAATCCGGGGGAATGGCACATGGAAAGCATTTTCGAGATTTGCCTCGGAAACACAGAAAATTAGAGCTGAAACTCGAGACTCTGCTCTTGACACTGGTAAACTACTTTGGAGGCTTTGTACATTGCCAAGAGGAATCTGCAGCTGAACACGCGCGAAAAGTACAGAAGCAGGCAGCTGACTCTGAAGCTGTGAGCAACTCGAGTTCTTTGTCCCAGAGTTTTTTTCTTTTTTTTTCATTTTTTTTTTATTATTTGAGGTAATCAGAAGGTCAAAAGTATCATAGTAACCGAGGTTACAGTCAGGAGTCCCTTCATCACGTATTCCAGTCAAAATCCTTGGAATTTTCTAGATATGGAAGTGATAATGACAATAACCAAAATTCAAAAACCAATCTCTTCTGTGGTTTTTGTATTTTGTTTCTGTGTTTGGTTTTTGTGGTTTGCTTTATGCCAATTTTCATGTTTTTCAGTGCTGATGATGGCTGTATAGCCGAAAGGACTCCGAAATAAATAAGTTTCATTATCTTGTTTTTTTCACATTGATGAGAAAGAAAGTAGATTTTCTGTAATGTGTAGGTATCAACCTTTTGCGCATTTGTGAAATTTACGTCTTTCTCTCTCTTTCTCTCAAATAACTTCGGTTACCATGATAATTTCTGACCTTGTGATTTACTAGGCCTTTGCTGGGGACGCCATTAATTATTAACCTGTTTTAGTCTCCTTTTAGATATAAATCATGCAGTATACTGGAAGCTCATATGACGGGGAATATAACAAAGGTCGGTTTGAAGGGACCGGTAAATACTCCTTTTCAACTGGCACGAAGTACGAGGGATCTCTCAATAACGGTATGTTCCATGGTGATGGTACTCTCTTCTTTCCAAACGGGAGCAAATACACAGCAAACTGGGAAAATGGGTTCGCTCAGAAAGGTACCTACATGTTTGCTGACGGACTGAAGGTATGTTGCATGTCTAGTACTGAAATCGAATTTAAGTTCGCCCTCTGTGATTTTTTTAAAAGTGTCAATGAACGAAGTGAAGTCATTTTTTTTAGTTCGTGTATTTGGGAAAAAATTCAAAATCCGTTTTTCGCGGTTTGATTTTTTTAAAAGTTTTGATTTAGATACACTCGTTGAAAGGAAGGCAATGAATTCTCTCATAACGAATGTGCAAATGGCCCGAACAACGAAGGTTTTAAATTTTCAGCTTTCCCACTGTTTTTAAACTTGATTTTTTTTTTCAGTTCGAAGAGAAGGATTGGGAGTATTGTGATGGATTTGACCGACGTTTCTACACCGAAGTCTGCAATGGTTTGAAACCCGCCGGAAGATCGCAAATTACAGATAAATCGGCCGAAGAAGTAAGTTTTCAATGAATTGTAAATACACTGTGTGTTTTAATTTCAATTACAAAGCAAGCTTTGTCCATATTATTATGCCAGGGTAATGCAAGGCAGTTTTTAGACTTTTTCGTTCTTGAAACTTATTTTACAGATGATCAGGTTCGATTACGATGAAAGCTATGCAAAAGCGGTTGAGCTGTGAAGTGAAATATTAATATTTTGAAGTCATTATCATGGCTTCAGCGGTTTCTTTTCTTTCTTTACATGTAAAAAACTTCGGCGATTTGCTTCCTTTTTCCCTATTTGTAGAAATTTATAGATTATATTCGCGACTTATTTTTTTCGACGAGCTGTAAATAGTTTTGTCCCTAATTTCTTTTGGTGTGCTGTAAATTTTCGTCAGGTCTCAAATAAAATAATTGAGACCTTATATTTTTAATTTTTTACTGTTCTTTTTAATTTAAATGATATCTATATGTCGCTGTTAGAACTAATCAAATTATGTATATATGCCATTGAAATCAAAATTAATGATTCAGCTATCTTTGTCCAGAGGTAACTCACGTTCAGGCTATAATAAATAAACTCTAAAATTATCGTGAGTCTGCTAATTTTTCGTCCTTTTTTCCCGAACAGCTAGGATTTTTCTCGAACAACAAATAGTTTTATACTTTTTGAAAAACAGTATTTTCTTTTTTTTTCTACAACTTTCACTTTTTAGATGCATGAAAGTTGTAAAAAAGTGAAATGTTAGATTGCGTAGATATAATGACTCGTCAGACAGGTAAAATAAATTCGATATCCTGATGAAGTCTTTTTCGTAAACAACATCCAGAACAGAATTGAATCTATGAAATCTGAAAGTTTTTACACTAGCCAAATTAAGTGAGGCAGTGTTATAGTGCGACTATTTTTTTTCTAACCTAAGTCGCAAATATTGGAACCTATTCTGGGGCCTCTTCACAGCTTTTTGATAGTTAACACAGTTGATGCCTTTCTCATTGTTCATTTGTTCAAACATCAGTACAATAATAAATTCAATTTCCGACCTTTTCGTTCCAATATATCTCGCAGTATTTTTTACCCTTGCGATAGCAAGGGTATTGCAATCGGGTATTAGGCTCTTTTTTTCCCGTTAAAAATTTCAGGCACTGAATGGTTAAATTAGAAATGGTAAATTTATGTTCAGTTTTTAATTAATTCTAATTGCTTTGTGTCTCCCGCACACTTGTCTGGAGGTAACGAGTACGCCTGGGTTCGAATCTGACAGGACCTGGTTTTTCTCAAATTTTCAAACGGTAAATATTCCGTTTCGCAAAAAAATTGCCTGATCATTATTTGTCTGTTAGTGTTTTTTTAGTTCTTTTTACATTATAGTTGCTTTTAGTATTCTCATTTTTCTCTGATGACTTTATTCTGCCCAAATGATTTCGCACTAGTTTTTTATCGGCTTACTGACCTAATTTTGATTCGTTTCAAGAAAAGCAAAGTTTTATGCTCACCTCAATATCGCACGAACTGTTGAAAATCTTAATAGAATTCTAGTGCAGAAAGTTTTTCAGAACAAAAAATTTTTTTTGGCTTTTTCCTTTTCTTTCGGCTTGATAGGTTTTGGCCTATATTAGATGACTTAAGGGCGAGAGGGAGTTGTTTTTTTTTCGGCCTAAAGGATTTCTGCCAAGTTATTTTTCGGCTTTATCAACGTTTGGTAGTTTTTTTTCTGTTGCTCATTCAAATTTCCTTGTCGTGGCTTTTTTTTGCAAACTAGCTTTTTTTAAGTGGTAAATCTAGTTTTTTTTGACATTTTCGAATTTTTTTGACTTTTTTCTGACTTAGCGGCTTTCTTGTTTTGTATCCCAAGTGGTGCGAAGCTCAGTTTAGCCTCTGTGTGAAGTGCTCAATTCATACATAATTTGCTTTTATGCTTACAAACTTATTACAGGCAAAGTTAGCGTGGATGCATTCAGTTTGTTATATTCCAAATTATTACATGCCAAATTGTCTATTTGTATTTGTTGCCATTTTTGCTGAATCGCATTGGCGATTTATTAGCATATGTAGCTGCTTTATTCCTGAATAGCGTTTGTAGGTTGTAACAGTCCGTGACCGAGCGGGCAGGGCATGAGACTCCAAATCTTGAGTTCGTAGATTTGAATTTGATACGGAGCAAAGTTTTACTAATTCGAGGCTATTTTCGAGCCAAATATTGTCCATTATATCGAATTCAGTGAGTTTTTTTTGCGTTTGTATAGTTCTCGAATCACACCACGCACTAGAAACGACTTTCATTTGAAGAAAAAAAACTTGTTCAAAGTTTTTAATGGTTATGGTCGGGTCGGAACATTCGGTGCTACTTGTACAGCAACTAGCTCTCCTTGTTTAATTATAGTTTTATTCTTTCGTTTTTATTGCATGTCTTTCAACAGACTTGTTCTAACCGATTTTTTACTAGGTCGAGGAAGGTTATTACGACGTGGGAGACGGCGTGTATGATCCCGAGGCGAGAGTAGTACATGACTACACTGGCAAGTTCCTTCGCAATGCAGATGACGACGAGCACGATTGGATCTTGAAGACATGTCGAAAAGGTTGAAAAAGCTTACTTTGTTTTCTATCCGCCGCGAAATTGACCTCGAAATCATAGATTACGGAAATATTAAAAGTCGCAGCTAAAGACTTGAAGCCTTAAGAACGGTATTCCAAAGTTGCTATATCGAAAGTGTAATTTGTATTTGATGATCGGCTTCTGAGTTTTCTCACAGCCAATGATTAAAGTGAAGCATAATGATCAAATTAGATATATCGAGTGCGATAATTTGATTTTAATAACAGGCCAAGTGAGCAAAACTGCTTTTCATACATATGGGATGGCATTATAAAAACAAAACAATGCTTTTGGGTAATTCAGTTCGTAAAACTGCCGCACCCGATTTTTTTGGGTATGGTAAAGCCTGCTTTTTTCAAAATTTTACTCTGCTTCGGAAAATCTTTGGCCAAAATTTCAGTGTTATCAAAATCATAATATCTAAAAAACGTATTTTGAGTTTATGTTGTGTTGTTTTCTAGGTCTGGACGAAGTGACTGGGTTTATACGTGGATGGGACGGCATCTCTGGTCCACCCCCGAAACTAGTCGATGTTCCAGAAGAGGTTGAAGAGAAGTGAAGCCAAATGTCACCTCACCTGTCTTAACAACCTTCTATAATAGTCATATATAAATCATAGTTAATTATCAAATCATTACAGAGTTTTAAAATTCATCCATGTGTAAATTGTAAATATGTAAACTAAAGTGTAAGTTTTTGATTTTTGCTGGACATAAATAAAAAATTTAGTCCTAATCTTAGAAAGAAAGTAAAAACAGCTGTTTTAGGTTATCACATTTTTCTTTGGGCCAACTTGGCGTGTTTTTTTTTCGTTAGATTGAAAGCTTAGCCTCATCTGCTGATGAAAAAGAATGCTTTGAAGTATAATGCCAAATCCATCCTAAAATTTAAATTGATTTTTTGTCCTATGGTTTGTTAAAACACGATGAATTGACCTGCATGAATCATAGAACAAGAAATAAATTCAAGATGGAATGGAAAAAATCGATAGGAACAATAAAATTCCAGACTATAGACTATTTTGGTCCGGTTTTACACGCTGGTTAAATTTAATCTCATTTCTTTTTTTTATAGCATAGTGTCGCGCTTAAAACGGTTATACTTGTGCAAATTGAATTTGCTAGCTTAAGGCCGATGTTCTAAAGACAAAGCAGTAATTTGGTAAGAAGAATTTTACTTTAACTGGTGTACTAACTTCAGTTACTTGACTTGGTTAGTACAAATGAACTCGCAAATTATTACACAGCGCGGTATTGTTAAGCCGTTATTTCTTTGTCTTAAAACTTCTTAGCTGATTGTTAAAAGAGTCAATGGTTTGAAACCGATTAAGATTTACGATTTGAAGCTTTGCTTTGTATGCCTTTGAGACTCGTAGTGGTCTTTTTTATGTCTTTTTTTTTCTTACTGACAGTGTCAAAAATATAAATGATTCACGTTTGATTCACCAATTGCTTATTTGCCATCAGTTTTTTTCAACCTGCTAGAAATATCGCTGGTTTTATTGCTGAAAAGGTGGTATTTGATAATGCAGTTATTCATCTTGTTACTTTTTCAATACTGTTTCATCAAGCAACACTAATGATTTCAGTTAATTTACTTCTTAACGTAATAGATGAGAAAAATGGTTGGGTAATCGTAGTAATTCTGGATTAAAATCTAGTTAAATACAATTTTGTCCATTTGATCAAATTGTTCATTAGCTGATTAAACTGAACGGGGAAACACCAAAGGAGCTCAATGGGTTTTCACAGTACGGTTTTTCCTCATCGCTTGCGTCATGTTTTGAACTCCATCGTTTTTTACTTGAATTAAAACTGGAACATAGTAATGTGTTAGTCATATAATGGTTTGCGCATTAAATTAAGCTACAACAATGCAAGAAAAAATTATATATTGTTTCACGCAATACTTATGCAATAACAACTTAAATTGATGAAGAGTAAATTTTTAAGGTAATTTTGATATTCAATATAAAAAAAAATCAATTTTAATTTTCTTTGTGTGTGTGTGTGTGTGTTTAATTGCTTGTCACATTGTAGGTTGCATATGTTCTAAAAACATGTCAGAGCCCTGTTCGTCCGAAATTCGAGTGCCTTTTTTCAGCCATTAATTGTATTATTGTGCTGCTAACAAAATCTATGTTGCGGGTAATATATTGTTGCAATAAATTGCATCCTTAAGGTCGTTTCGCTACTTGAGATTAATGCATTTCCGCTCCAAATCAAATTAGATCAAAATAGGTTCCTAAATCGAAGTTTCCCTTAAATACCAATCACCATCAACCAACTGCGGAGTAATTGATTTAATAAATGTCATCTCGATAAACCGTCTAATTGCTGTTTTTTTTTTCAGATTCAAGTTATGGACACCGTATTAATAAAAGCGTGTGTCGATAAGACCCCAGCCTTCCTATGAAAATTCCAGGCTTAATAATTTTTGTTACCTGGGATAGCTTCAAGCCAATTTATACCAGTTGTCATATGCGAGAAATTTTACATGTTACCTTTACTGCGTGGTGGTCAAATTAGGTTTCGTGTGATTGACCCACTTTTGAAAATTGTCCGGTCTGAATAACTTTGTTTGACAAGCTTTACTACTAGACATTTGTCTGCTTATTCGATTTAACTTAGTCACTTTTCACGCTTCAAACCACTGTTTGCTAAAAAAAATTGTTCAAAAACTTTCTTTGTTACCATTATTCAGTATTTATCTGTTTGCTCGAAAATTTTTCGTTTGTTGAATCCAAGATAGTAATTAATAATAAGTACCTCAATTAATCTCATCCGTATAGACTTCGACCGTACGTTGCATTTAAGCTTAACCAGTAAACATAATCTATGCCTGTATGCTTTTTTATTGTCTCAGTAAATGATTAAGTTAATGAAGTATTTGCCGAATATTATTTCCTTGGTTTACATTAATTGTTAACATCATTTTTGCCGTGCATCACATATCAATTGCGTATTATTATACCATATTACCCGTACATTACGCTAACACTAGTGAACAATCTCTATTATTTGTTTCGCCATCTTACGATATTGATATCTTTTGTTACCTTTCTTTCAGTGATCTCAGTTTATCGTAGTTTCGACTAAGTAAAAGCTCCTCTCATTGTTACCTTATTCTAGTTCAGGTCTGCTTTGCCGTTTGATTAAGTTTTCTGCCCTAAGTTTCTTCAAGTCAAAACGGAAAAAGTGCTCTCAAACTTTAGTTATATCAGTTCAAAATCAAGTTTTTTTTTCAAAAAAAATTTGAGTGCTCAATTTACGTCATTTCATATTTTACACTTTATTTCACGTTATCTCATACTTATGCTTCCTAGAGTTATTATTACATAATGGGCTTAGTATTTATTGATTAGTTATTATAAAACAATCCTAGAATATTGACTAGTGAGTTACGCCATTAAGTTATAATTGTTTTCATCTAATCCAAAGTTTTGTTACGTGAAGTTTTTAATTGCATGTGAAAAGAAGTTTTGAAAAAAATGTCGTCGGAAAGTCCGCCCGAACGCGTGAACAAAAACGACTCAACCAGTGAACACATTATTACGTCATTAAACGACTCTCAAAGTCCATCTGAGGTATTCGACCATGCGGAACCGACAAGCGATCATTCAGATTCCATTTCCGAAACGAGCTCGGAACCTTCGATTAAAGTTAACCCAGCGTTCAAAAAGGTTCTGAACAACCCAAAAGATTTGTTACCTTCGTCTCCCTTTAAAAAGATGACGCCCAGTCCCGGAAGTGATAGCTTAAAATCGGGGAATTCGACTGAGGATCAAAATAGAACGCCCAGAAATACAACAGGCTCTAGTACGATTACGAGACACAATAACAGTAACGTAGAAGCGTTTATGAAGAGTTCTCTGGTCCAATGGGCCACAAGAGCGATTGACCAGAGTTATGACTCAAATGGCAATGCAGAACAAGTAACGTCTCCTGTTCGAAAAGGATCTGATGGAAATGGACACAGTGAATTGGTTGTCACTTTCCAAGAATTAGTGGATGGGATTCTGCTCAACGACTTGATGTATGACATGTAAGTACTATGAATATTTCCGAACTTCCGAATTGGCAAAAATGTTTCCATTAAGTTCTTAAATTAACAATTTTTCGAATGAACAATACATACGCGTTTTCTTTGCAAGTACCATTACACAAGTAAAAGATTGTTCAAATGTACTACCCGCACTTTTCATTAGTTTTTTCGATAAAATAATAATTTTGAACAAAACTTCGCAAATCATTCAGTTAAGAAAGTTCGGATCCTTTTTTTCCAATTCGAGTAGCTTTTTCGTGCATTGTTTGATTAGATAGATCCGAAGTTTCGAGAGTTTTTTATGAGCTTCAATAGCGAACTTAATAGCAAGATGAAAAACATTTTTTTCTGCAAAAAAAGTCAAACAAACCATTTTCAAAGTTTTTTTGAGATTAGTTTTAAGATTTCTGCAACTCTTAATGCTGGGGAACTCTAAATTCATCTCCAAAAGCTAGTTTTTCACATCAAAAAATAAATGTAAAAAATTAGATATAGCTTAATAACCAGCTCATAATTTGACCTAAAGTAAAAAGTTGACCTTGAGAAGAGTTTCTGGAAAGTTTTACATGTCGGTCGTTCAACGACTGAAAGATATTTTATTGTGATATAGCACTCGACTCATTCTGATCATTATTGGTAGTTTCTGAGTTGCGTGAAAATGGCGCCGAAAAAACTAAAACGCACCCCAAGCCGAAGACAAAGTTCCTCCCCATTTTCAGTGGTTGGAACAAAAAATATGTAAATTGTTTTTCGGTTTTTCCTCAAATGAATAAAATAGCATTGGTCGGAACAATCTGTACTACTTGCACAGGGCTGGTTATTCTGAATAAGTTCAATTATCTTCGTTTTGAGATGGATGAGTTTTCGCTGTCAAATGGTTTTACAATGACCTTCTTTTATGTACTCATATTAGAAAAAGCATCATATCTACAATTTGAGATATTTTTTTTTCTGCGGTGTATGCATGCGAGGACCCGCTTCGCCTTTGTGCAAATTTGTTTTGATCGGTTTTTAAAGACGATAAAAGGTTCCAGACAATCTTTGAATTGATATTTACCAAGGTCCCTAAGGAATGATATACGGGAAGAGCAGCAGATGGCTTTGAGACTAATCAAATTAGTAGTTCCTTCATGTCCGCTGCAGAAATTCAGGATCACGATGTGAACTTTTGTTTGTTCTCTTCATTTGAAGGTTCAATAATTTAGACTTAGTGTTGACTTTGAGCCAAGTGGTTCCTTGACCTGCAATTTGTTAGCTCAGGTCAACACTAAAATAACGGTTTCCTTAGTAAAAAAAGACTTGCTGGAGGTCTAGAGAAAACAAACTATCTGTGACTAAGTTTCTACCTGAAAGCATGAACATGATTTGTTTCAGCGTTACATTTGTTCTCAGTTACTGGGCCTCCAGGCTATGTGATACGAATTCCACGAAATGGAGTGTTAAGATTGCTTTAGAGAGCGCTCTAGAAAGGTTTGATTGAACGTCAAGATTACAGTGATTTCAGACGTATCGCCAAGGAAGCGTGTTTCTTATGGCGCTAGTAATGCTAAGAGAAATACTAGAAATACCTACTATTTAGATTGGGTGCAAAAGGTTTTCCCAGACAGAAATAAATGTCCGTAGTAATGTTAAGTTTCATTGCCTTGAACATGTTGAAAACTGGGTTTTCGAAATCTGAGGTTTGTTGTTAATTCAAGCTTAGCAAGCTACATGTAAAGTGTTGTATTGGAAGAAACGAAACAAAAAACTAAGTTTTTTTGAACAAAATTTAAAATACTGTTAATTTAAAAGAAACTTTTTGTGTATTTCAGACTAGTTTGTTCCATTTTTTGAAATTAATTACTAAACTGACGCAAGTAATTTCCGGCAAATTGGAAAAAACAGGTCTTCATTTTTGATAGTTTCTATGATTGGAACAGTATCTTTGGGGTGCTTGTTCATATAAGGCATTAAAATATCGCCATTATTAAACGGTATAAATTAGGTTTGTAGTTAGTAGAACGTCTTGGCTTTCGCAGTATTTCCTGTGATTATTTTCCATTTACTCTTTAAAGGCCTTTCAAGTATCCACAGGAAAGCATTATGTAAGCTAAAGGGAGCCCAATCATGAAATTCATGTTTCAGTTTACGTTGTTTTTATAGAAAATATCCATTTCGGGAAACCATTTTGAGGAAAATATAAACTTAAGTTACCACCCGACCCTAATTTGATATGAATGTTTCTTTGCTTTATGGTTCGATTTCAGACTACCTGTATTAGACAAGAAATGTGATCCTTCGATTGAGTTGTGATAAAAGCATGATCAAATTCCTAGTCATTGTCTATGGCCCCAGGTATACTACTAAACGTTACCATGTATACATGCTTTCAAAGCATATCTGAATCTATCATACCAATGATAAGCGAAAATCATATACGTTATCATTTATGGTTGTGTAATTAAAATATAACCCTTCCCTCTCTTGGAACCGTAGATCAAAAAGCGGTTTTTAAAGCGCGTGTAACTCAACGAGTAGTTAGCTCAGTAGTTCTACTAAATATCCGAACCTGATGTCAGGGACAAATTGAACTTCATAATTTAAGAAATCAATGGCCAAATTGTGAAAGTTTCTGTTTGAAAGTCGAGACAGCTTTCTGCTTGCTTTGTTGATTCGTTTAAGTGGCGTTTTAATTTCGAAGGTTTATCAAATCAATGTTTTTGTTTCTCTGAATGAGAGTTAGAATCTGAGAAATACTTTCTCAATGCTTGCTTTTAGAAATTTACCATAATTCAAAGAAAAATTATTTTTTGAAGAAAAGATTAAATATAAAGCATCTCAAATAAGTTCACGATGATCAGCTGAATGATAACACCTATTGATCTGATTTTGCAAGTTTTCAAAGATTTTCAGCAAAATTCCAATCATGGTAAAGGAAATTTAATTTTTTCCTAAAATATAAATTGTTAAATTGTTTTAAAAAATCCACAAAAAAGTTGTTTTGTTATCACTTTTTTAACCTGAAGTTTAAGTAAGTTTCAATTCAAGACGCTATATAAAGCCGAAAGTTTGTTGCGCAAAGTTATCATTAAGGATGATTAGGAGTTTCGCTGCTTTCTTTCAGCCATCCCTCAATTGCGTGCAAGGCTGGTATTCAAGCAGACGTAGAGGAGCAACCCCACCTAAGACTGCAGAATCTGGCCTTACTCCTCAGAAACATCAGATTCTATCATGCTGTAAGTCATCTAATGTAACAGCAAAACAGTGCATGTTATTTTAACAGGTACCACAGCGCTTCTCTCTAATCAGCTGAATCCCTCGTAAATTGGTCGTATGTTGTGGATAAAAAAGGATACCTTAAATATAAAACAGTAAACAAGGCTCGATTTTTGATGACCTTGAGGTAATCGCGGGAAAAACGTTGTTTTAATTTTTTGACATTCTTTTACGGATTTCCTAGAAAGAGTGTCTTGAACCGACTTTTTTGGAGCTTAACTTGGACCCCAACATCAAAATGAGGAGTTTAAGGTAAATAAACTACGTTCAGCATCAATAATAAAAAAGGTTCAGCATCTTGCTAACATTTTGACGCTAGCTTTACATCAGCAATGTTCATTTCAGAATGGAGAAGAGACGCATTTAAAATTAAATTAATCAAATCGCACTAGTTAAATTTGTTTAGGGGTTGCACGCCTAAAAATGGACGCCAAATAAAGAGATAGCCTTTTTTGGAATGTCTTTTTTTTGTCGTAACTGATTCATTATTTTAGTTTCGGCAGTTGACTGAGCTTTCAATCATTAATTTGACCCTTATTTTTCTATCTTACTCATACGAAGAAAAATACTTTTATACAGGCTAAGAGCGAAGTCTAAAGTTCTTTCGATCTGTAGTTCTAACTCAAAAGTTATAACTAACTTGACGACTTAGTTATTAATAACCAGCTGGGCTAATGTCACTCAAAACAGCTGTTTAGAATTACGTGGTGTGTATGTTTACAATGCAAGTCATTGGACTTCGTATTTTTCATTCAGATTTTGAATTTGAGTTGATAATGAGGTTGAATGAAGAATATATAGAGTTTGATTTTGATAACTGAAGTTCTTTTATGTATGAATGTTTCCGTTACGCTCTATGGTTTGACACAGTGTGTGAAAATGAAGTTATTCTGTAATCTGTAAGTCCAAAGTCACAGCGTTGAAAAAATGTCGTAGGTTTGAGCTTAGCGTTGATGACCAAATGTGTTGCGTTGTGTTTCATCCAGATGCTAGAAATCTATTGAGAAACTCAAAAAATTGGGGCCTTTCAAGTTGATAAAAAATCTCCTAAGAGTTTGGTAATTTTCTCTATTGTGTTCTTAGAATTTTTTTCTGCGAAATTGGCTGTTAAATTGTTCCTAATTCATTTTCAATTCCAGGAGGTGCTGGGTGAGGCATTGGTGGGGAGACTTCCAGATGTGACTGCAATAGCCAGAGAACCATCTTCAGGTAACGCCAAATTATTCGGAAAACAGATGTATTCGAATCATAAGGAGCTTTAAACATCGGTCAGAATCAGCTGCTCCATATAACCTTAATGCCATTGCGTCAGTAGTCGAAACATGAGTTAATCGAAAAGTGAGACTTAGCTTCTAGAAATGATAGTAATATCAAGGGTTGCTGCGAAAGTCGCACAGAGTGTTCCGATTACAATAATTGAAGAAAAAGAAACAGAAATAGAGAAAAAGTAACAGAAATAGAGAAAACGTTTTCAAACATCTGTTTTTTCATGTATTGACTGACTGATTTTATTTTTATTGACTGACTGACTAGGATGAAAAACTGCAAGAATGAAGGCACGTCTTGCTCAAATGGTACCAATAAGATAATGTTAAAATGGGCCTGTTTGGCAGCCTCTCAATTTTTGTTTATTTTTGAATATTTTCGGTTTTCAGACTAAATTAGACGTAAATCGAGAGGCTAACCTACCCGCTACAATTTTAACCTTATCTTAATTGTATCTTTTTATAGCGATATTTTCTTCTCATTGTTAAAGTTTTTTGAACCAATTCAGCCGCCCTTCACAAAAAATAACCAGTAGTAAAGAAGAAAAAACGGAATTTTCTCCATTTTTGATATTTTTTCTTTAAACACTGTTTTCAGAATATTCTATGTAACTTGCAAAGCCACCAGACCAATTTTTCTCTGCACTTCAGAATATCATTTAACATTTTTTCTGAATCGGAATTGCGACCGATAGGGTCTTGATATGATAACACAGTTGAAACGTAGTGAGTTTTCGTTAAGATATCTATAAATGGGTGGATAAACTACTAGGTAATCCATAGATCCTTCCCTTCGTGAAGTTGTTTCGAACATAAATACTAGATCTTAGATTCATCATGCGAATAATCAAATTTGAGAGAATTTTGGAGAAGTTAAAATAGTCTTGTGTTTTTTTTGTCAACCAGCTCGGAGGCCTAACCCGGAGGTTAGTTAATAAGGTTGATATGAGCGCATGTATTCAGCGCCCTTTAAGCTATGACTTACTTGCAAGAGCTCCCCTGCAAATTGCAGCGCACGGGTGATTAGTACCAGCAATCATATGGTTGCTGGGCATATTCACTTCCGGAGTGCCACAATGACACGGTAAAATGGTGATTTGAAATGTAAAAGTATTTTTTCAAAATTACTAATTTCAGTCAATGGGCTAGCAGAGGATTTTTTAAAATTCTTTGAACGGTCCTTGAAAGCTATGAGAGCTCAATTATTTCTAAATATTAAAAAAAAAATTTCACTTATTATTTCGCCCAAATTTTGAATTTCAAAAAAATGGAAATGTTAAATTAACAGAATTGTTCTAGCCTGCTTTTTACCCTTACGATATAATAAAAACAAAAAAAACTGATATACTGAAATCGGAGTTGTAACTTTACAACGCACATTAATCAAATCCAACGGGAATTTACGGGAAAAAAGTCCAGTACTCGATTGCAAGGGCATTGCAATCGAGTACTTGACTTTTTTTCCCGTAAATACTTTTTTTTGACAGGATGAATGATATTGTTCTCATCTCCAATTCTACCTTCATCAAAGAACAGACAGATGGACAAGACAATTTTTTAGCTTGTCAGTCCTTAAATGCCCGTTGGATTTGATTAATGTGCGTTGTAAAGTTACAACTCCGATTTCAGTATATCCGTTTTTTTTCTTTTTATTTTTTTTCTTCATTCGGCTCAAAAGGTTTCAGTTTATAATATATGGGCTTAACGGCCTCTTTTTGAATCGTTTGAGGAGCAAAAAAGTCTTATGCAAGTGTTTTGATGGGCGAATTTAATTTTTTTGACTTCTCAAGTTTTTCTAATAAAATGAGTTTTTTTTCGGCGCAACATGTCTGCTTAAGAATTGTCGTCTTGGTTACTGCGTTAAAAATTGAGTTTCGATGCTTAATTCACATACAATTGTCTTGTTTTTTTTTGAAAGGAATTTTTATTCAAGAGAAATGTAGAAGTTTTTTTTCGTAGATCAGTTTTTTAGATATTTTTTGCAGTTAGTGCGGTGCCTCGCTTCGTCTGCATCTGTAAATTTTTTAAAGTTGCATGTAGTTCAGTTCCAATGTTTTGGTTTTTTTTTGCAATTTTTTTTCTCAATTTTTGTGGTGCAGCTGCAATTAGTTAGAGTTATTCATGTTTCTATTGCAAGTGGTGCAAAGCTCTGTTTCGCCTCTGTGTAATCAATTGTGTTGTGCTGTCATATGGAAAAAGGAAAAAATGTCTCTCTTTCTTTGATTTTAGTCTATTATTCGACTTGCCAAGTTTCGGAAGTTGAAGACAGAATTTCAAATTGGTTGAAAGATAAAATAATTATTCATTTATCTGTAAAACTTAGTTTTTTCACTGCATAGTGACAGACTCTTGGTTGAAAAAAAAGATACCGTCGTTTGCAGGGGCGGATCTAGGATTTTCTCGAGCGGGGGTGGATTTTCAAAAAAATTTTGAAAATTTTGACGACCTTTTTTTTAGGTCGACCAAATTGATTTTCCGAGCTCTCTTAAAGCACTAAAAAGACGCTGCCTTGGCCAAATTTTATGCGCGGCTGGGAAACTTTCGAAAAAACAGGTCAAAAAAGCCGTTTTTGGGCACTTTTTGAAAAATTTTGAAATTTTGACGAAAAAAATCGCGTTTTTTGCGCGCTCCCCCTCAAAATTAGTATATATTGGCGCTAAAGGCGCCTTAAAAAGATTTTAGGGTCGGTCGGCCAAAAATGGATTTCATATAAAGTACTTAAGGGTCGGCAGGGGGTCGAATCCCCCTAAATCCGCCCCTGGTCGCTTGTCTTCTATATGTCTCAGAATCTGATGCTACATAATTTGCTTCCATGGTTTCTTTCCTAGAGAAACGTATTTTTCTTGGTTATTCCAGTGATGGGTCTCTCGGAGTTGAAACGAGTGCTGCAACTGCTACTCGGTTGTGCAATGAAGAGCGAAGTGCCCGTTCGAGAACGGCATGTGTCCATAATTCAGTCTTTACCGGTAGCAGAACAAACTGAACTCATGGAATACATCCAGGTGAGTCTTTTTTCAATTGTTGTTGATCTATCTAAAAGTACTTGGATTTGAACGATCGAAAAAAAAACCTAAATTGTGTGCATAGGAAACTGTTTTTTGATGTAAATATCGACGATTAATTGATAATTATATGCGAAAATGAAAATAGGAATATATTGAAATTCAATTTGCTGTCTATTTTTGTTGTGATTGATCTAAAAGTACTTGAGTTTAAAAGATCGATTAGGAAAATATAGAACGTATTTATTGAGTTCGGTGTCAATTGCAAATGGGAAATTTATGGAGATACGCGATAAAATTTCTTATGTATGATCTTTTTGAGACTTTTTCAATTAGTTAAATGACACGATTAATCCATGATATTGATCAGAAAGCGTTTTTATTCATTTTTAAAGAAATTTTGAGTGCAGTCTTGAGGTTTAAAATGTTAGATTTGGAAAATTTCCTGATCTTAAATGCACGTTATTGTTACCAGGAAGCAAAGAGCAACGAAAACGCAATATCCCTCTCAGCAGTAGAAGAACACGTGCATGTAGACTTGCAAGAAATATTCCACAGACTGATAGACGACAGATTCGACCTGTTTGAGATCTGTAACTCACAGGCGGTGGAACAGTTGTCGGGTGGGGGTGGAGGGGTGGGTGGGGTGAATGGAGACGCCACATCAAGTGGAGGTCAGCCGCAGTTGAACGGAGGAGGTGAGAGCAGAGACCTTTCCAATTATAGTTCCCCAACTGCAAATTATCGCCCTCTAAATACATCACGGGTTGCTGGCCGGTTGCTGAGCAAAAATCACCTTGTTCTAACTACTGTTATTTCTGAAAAAGCTTTTAGAAAAATGATTTTGATTGAAAAAATATAATTTTTTTTCGACTCAAATGCGTTTAACGCATGGATAATAGGACCTTAATATGGCGTCAAAATTGATGACCTACAAGCTTTCTCTGAGATACGGAAATCGTGGCGACAGAAAACCTTTACGCTATAGTTCCTGCCAGTTACTTTGTGAAGTGGTCGGAACAAAATGGCAGTTTGGTTGAGCTGTATTTTTTTGCTTTGACTGAGTGTGTGGTGTAGGGCTTAGGGCTATAAAGAGGCATTTTATTGGAAATTGAGACGGAAGAAAATTGTTATTAAATCAGGGCTTGAGAAAATTATGGTTTTTGGTAATAATTAGACATAATTAAAAGGGGTGCAAAAGGTTGAATTTCAGATGAGGGGTTCAGATATCTCTCTAAGCAAGCCTATGATAGTTTTTTTAGCTCAAACTCTAAATGTGACAGTAGTTTTCTTGTACTGATGACATAAACAGGGTTTTCCAGGTAGTGGAATGTGGAAAAGGGGATCTTTTCACACTAGGCAGGGCTCTAACTATGGCGAGATCCAACAGCTGAATCTGCAGATATCCGATCTGAAGAACAGACTCATGAAGAAAGACAACGAATTGTAAGATCTTTTATAAGGTTTCTGATGCTTTGGCTACCAATACTTTTCTTCTCAGGGCTATTGGCTATTAGTTTACGTCAAAGTGGTTTCGTCTCCAATGAAAAATTGAGTGTTATTTGGTTTTTTCCATTCCACTCAATTTGTAAAATGATTGGTTTATATTATAAATTCGTATCACAATCTGACAACTTTCTGGCAACTTTTTTCGAGACTACCTTTTATCGAGTATACCTATCCGCTCTTTTTTTGTGGAATAATACCATTTTACATTCAAAGTCTGAAAGATCGATTTTTTCGCATACCTAGTCGTTTTTTTTGCGATTAGGAACCAGAAAGACGAAGACCTGGAAGCATACAGTGACGAGACAAGGAACCTCTCAGTGGAGAACAAGAAACTGAAGGAGCAGCTGACAGAAGCAGCGAGAGAGGCGAGGAGTATTCGTGGACTGAGGGATGAAGTGGACATTTATAGAGAGGTGAGTATGCTATGTGTTGACCCTCTTAAGCTTTAATAAGTACATGAGTTCACGAGGACCTTGAAAATTAGCTCTTACAAAAAGACTGATAGTGATAGAGTTTTACAAGTCTCTAGTACCGAATACACTGCGTTTGTTTGTTCACACACGTTAAGTGACCCTCGTCGTCAAACTGGCTCGCATAAATTCCACCCTCAAACTCAGTCTTTATTTTTTGTTCGCTATTGCGTACACTTAGTGGAGGGCTGATATGCTGTCTATAAAAATGTAATCATCAATTTGTAATATCGAAGCATGTGTTTCTTTTTAGAAAGCGGCGAGAGCAGATAGAGCGGAGAGTGAACTGGAGATGGCAAAACACAAGTTGGAAGAGCTCGACTACTACAGACAACGACTAGAGGTGAGACTAGACTTATACTTTGATCAAATTCAAATGCTGTTGAGAAGCAATAGAAAACAATCAGTTCAAACCTCCAAGTTCTGAGCTAAATTTCATTTTTATTAAGTTGATTCGATAAGGAATCAAAAAGTGTCAAAATTTCATGGAATTGTTGAAAATTGTTTTGCTTTTTTTAGCAATCGAACAAGGACTACAAAATGCTGGAAGAAACGAAATCTTCAATTGAGAAACACATGCAAGCACTTGAAACCCAAGTTGAACTCCTGCACGAAACGCAGCGTGAAAACATCACTCTCCAATCTCAAATAACATCTCTAGAAACTCAGATAGAAGAGAAGGAATTGTTGGTTGATTCTTTGAAGAAAGAAAATCAGACTTTGGGTGTGCAAAATACAGCATCGCTGAATGAAAGTGCGAGTTTACATCAGCAATTGGTCAATGCCAATTACACCCAAAGTGAGTCTTTTTAGGAAGCATTTTTGGAATTAATTTTGATTTATGCAAAAAAAGTCTTGGTTACTTTACCTCGTATAAGACTATGCATGATTCATACGATGATGTTCTTCTTGGAAAAAAACTTTTGGGCATCTGCAGAAATTTTTAAATTTTATTCTATCATAAATAAATAAAATGGAGTATGTTAGTGTGTATAAAAATAAGCATCGTGTGTAATAGAGTGTCTATGTAATGTGAATGTATGATAGCCTTGCCTGCCAGCCATCGCAAGAACTCGGCCACCATCCGCAACATCGTGCCCCGATTGGGCGCCATGAGTGTAGACGAAGACGACTTAGGCTCGTTTCCGCCTTCTTTTCTCCATTTAGTCCGAAATCATAAATCTTAATTACACAAGCCATTGTGAGAAAAATAAGCAAACTTAAAAAAAGAAATTTTAGAAAGTAACTTAAAAAACTCAAAATTAAATAAAGATAGCCGGTTACTGGGCAAGTAGCACAGAATGTTTCGACCAAAGATAGTCTTTAGAAAACTACGGTTTAGAAAGTTTTTTTTTCAAATAAGTGTAGTTTTTTCTGCTTGGAGTGATAAAAGGATCTGACGCAAAAATATAATTTAGGCGCATTAGACAGTCATAGTAGTATAGGCAAACTGGACAAAAAATTTTGTAGAAAAATTACTTGAAAAAACTCAAACTAGTTTCACTTGCTTAAAATTACGTTTTAAGGTCTTAAATTAGGCATAATTCAGGTTTTAAGCCTGCTCGCTTGCTTTTTTTCGCTCGAATTAAGACAAAAAATCAAAAATTTCAAACCGGTTTTTCTCGACACTGGGAAAACTTTTTGGACATTTTTTAACGTGGTTCGAATCACGACTGAAAGGGCTTTAATATGATATATCATTCAACCAGTCCGATCATTATTTGTTGTACCTGATTTTGCGTGGAAAACAAACAGCAAAAAAAAACTAAAAGACACCCGAATAGAAGTTTCATGATTTCAACTATGAATTAATCTCTTGTCGAAGTTCTATTTGCAACATTGTAAATTTTTAAGCATTGTTAGTTTTTAAACCTCTTTGAAGTGTACCCTTAAAACGGAAGAGGTTTGACCTATATCGTGTTATACTTCTACTAAACTAGAGTATCATTCAAGCTTATGTGTTAAATCAGTTATTCTTCTTCAACTCACCCATAGAGTTCGGTAAAATTAAAATTGACCCACTAGTTAAGAAGAAGTTGGAAACGAGTCTCACTGTTAGACCTCGAAATGACGCTGATGCCAGAGGTACTAGGGGACTATTTACAGTCGACCCCTTTTAATAATACAATTGGGCAAAGGGACAGTATAGCCTCAATTGCGAGTAATGCTTCATCTAATAATAGGCGGTGTGAGTGAATTCAGAAATCGATTGTAGATTTGATTGTTTATTGTCCTGCTACCATCAATAAGTTCTGTTGCATATCTGGCATTGTTTTGTTATCATTAATAATTTAGGTGGAATACTTGAATCTGTTGCAGTTCTGTTGTTGCCATTTATGAGTTGGCGATTGAAATTACATTGAAACTGATTTTTTTTGCAGTGCTTCTGGCAACCGATTGTTTTTTTAGCATGAATATAATTTGAAACTTGTCAGTGAATAAATTACGAGGCGATATGAAATCTTCAATAAATTAAGCACGTCACCGAGAAACTGACTGGCAAAATTTGCAACTGTTGTTAATGGGTTACACAGTGTTGTGCTATGTTATTGTTCAGCTGCCATTGCTGATATGTTGACGATTGCAATCATATTTGAACGCAATATATGATGCATTCACAATATCATGTTCAAAAAGATTGGTTTCTTAGAATTATCAGTTCAAGACACTTTTGTTTATGTTACTTGTGATAAGTTTTTCCCATTTTTGCTTCAATAGAATAACAAAATGGAAAACGACTGAATGTTAAATTTTGAGCTTTCGCAGACTCAATAGGGAAAGTTTTCTCACTCTCTCAGTGATACCCCACTAAACAGATTTTTGTTTCTACAAATTGATATTATTTATGATGGCAGCACTCAATTTAATTTAAACTGTCATTATACTTTTCAGTTGTAGTCTGTACTCATTGTTCATCCAATGTGATTTTAATGGATTGTTTATACGAATATGTTTGTTTTAGCTTCTCATCGACCTTCAGTGGGCTCGGAGTGTGAAGATACTCTCAAGTTCAGCATGATTCAGTTGGAGAAAGAGAAACAAGTGAGCTTTTTAGAAGGTTTAGTTGGAAGGCCAACACGTCAAAGGATCAACACTTAGTTTCATAGTGGTACCGTTAAGTTTTGACAGTGACGGCATCTTCGTTTTTAGTAGCTGAAGACTAGCGCAATAGAAACGTATGCGCAGAATTTTAATTTCAACGGTTTCCAAAACGACTTAAATGATAGTTCGATTTTAATAATAATGTTGATGAGAAAGATGACGATGATAGATTTTTCTACTCATTTCGGCCATAGTTTTGCGTGTTTTGGCGATAATGCTTGTGATGTTGAATGTAATTATATTTGCTTATGTAATTATGTTTATGTAATTAGGAGTTGAAGACTAGAGCAATAGAGATGGAGACGCAACTACTGCAGTTGAGTAAGGAGAAGGCGGCTGTGGAGAAGGAGTGTGACAAGTGGAGGGGAAGGGAGGAGAGGGAGAAGGGAACTCTGGAGGAGCTGCAACACAACATCGACAAGGTAGGGGTAATTGGTTGTATTAATTTCGTACGACTCAAATTTTCACTCATGATGTTGATATTGTCCTTAACGTATAGTTGTTCATTTTTTTTTCTGTACCAAAAACTATCAAAAACTATTCGATATGGATTAAGGGGCAGTCGGAAATTCAAGGCTTCGCGCTGATACGAGCAGTCTTGTTGTTCCGACTTTCGTATTGAAAGTAACGAAATATTTGTGATCGGGGTGGGTTTTTTTTCTTCAGACAAGTTTTGACTTTTTAACTAGCCATTTTTGACGGAATTTTTTTTATATCATTCAAATGTTATCCTGAGCTTAAATTTGAAAAGATATTTCACCTGTGATCATTTTTCGTAAAGTTATGAGGGTTTAAAGATTGCCATTTTGACCAATTTGGGACAATTAACGCGCGATATAATTCGCGCTATTAACGCGTAAGCGGAGATTTAATCTGTCGTATAAATCGTTCCAAATTAGTTGTACGAAGCTTATGTGCCATAATTGATTTGTTACAAGGAACGAAATCTATCTTTTTGTACTTTATATGGCGTGTGGGGGGATGATTTTCATAAAAATTTTCAAATTTTAGAAAAAAAAAAATTTTCATTTCATTTTATTTCTTTTAATTTTTTATGTTATTACTGCTGCTCAATAAACCTTAAAAGGCAGTCGGAACATTCAGGGCTTCGCCCTGATACGAGCAGTCTTGTTGTTCCGACTTTCGATACGAAAGTAACGGAATATTTGTGCTCGGGGTGGGTTTTTTTTTCTTCAGACAAATTTCGACTTTTTAACTAGCCATCTTTGACGGAATTTTTTTATATCATTCAAAAGGTATTGTTATCCTGAGCTTAAATTTGAAAAGATATTTCACCTGTGATTATTTTTCGTAAAGTTATGAGGGTTTAAAGATTGCCATTTTGGCCATTTTGACCAATTTGGGACAATTAACGCGCGATATAATTCGCGCTATTAACGCGCAAGCGGAGATTTAATCCGTCTTATAAATCGTTCCAAATTGGTTGAACGAAGCTTATTTGCCATAATTGATGTGTTGCAAGGAACGAAATATATCCTTTTGTACTTGTGGGAGGATGATTATCCCCCCATATGGCGTGTGGGGGGATGATTTTCATAAAAAACTTATTTTATTTTATTTCATTTAATTTTTTTATGCTATTACTGCTGATCCATAAACCTTAAAAGCCAGTCGGAACATTCAGGGCTTCGCCCTGATGCGAGCAGTCTTGTTTGGTTTTGAAATCAATTATTTATTTTCGAAGTATAACGTTGAGCGATGTAGCTATTCAATTTAAATTTGCCACCTATTGCATTATATTACCGAAATGAGCATAAATCAGTCACTTTAAGACAGTTTTTTTTAAGCATTGATATGTTGAGAGTTTTCGCGCATTCGAATAGTCCTCATGAAGCTATCTCACTTTGAGGCAAAAAGGTTGTGTTTTATAATTCAAACTGCTGTCGGTATTGGATTGTACTACAGTTACAGAGCATAAAAGTTGCAACGAGCATATGAACGATTTATTTCGAAGTTTTTGTTGTTTTCTCTGCAACTACCAAAAATATAGAGTTGAAACTAAGAAATATTGTTTTGAAGGCTTAAAAAGCTAGTATATCATAACTAGTTGTAGTTCAACGGGCGAGGAAACATCCTCGCTAACAACATGAATTCGAACTTATAGACTCAAACTGGTTCTTGGGAAGCTGATAAGCTTGCCATACTCTATATTTTGCGCAAAAACCTTAGACAAATGAAAAGAAGATACTCGGTGCGTCATCATTAAACAGCATGATTTTTAGGTGTAATTTTGCGCTGGTGATTAATATAAGCTGGGAAAAGAAATGTTCGAGTAAGTGTTCCGGATAAATGACTCCTCCCCCGATGCCCAGGATTATCTTAAGCAGTTTTGTTTTCTTTAAAATGTGTCCATTGTTCTGGTGTAACCGCTTAGGACTGCAATAAATATCTGTATCCTCAAAACCTATACGAGCGTTTTTGACGGACGCCGGAACAATTATCTCTTTTACTTATTTAGGCCGTCGTTTTTCCGCGTCATAAAAGGTATTTCAAGCTCATCAGTTTCCCAAGGAACCAAGTTGAGCCCATAAGTTCAAGTTTTTTGTGTTGTTTCTGACAATTTTTTTTTCGCAGCAAGAAATTCTCTGAAACTAGTTATGATAAACTGGCGTTGTTCCGTAATTGCCCTTTTATCATGATCGCATTACGATTTTGATTCACCAAGATTTTTTGTGAGCGATGTTTAACTTCAACGAGAGTTCATATTAGTCATAAATGTGACTATCGAAAATAATTATTGAACTGTTTATGCTGAGTATATTTTTTCAGGCAATGAACGACAAAAAAGCACTTCACGAGACGATGGAACAACTACAGCAGTCACACACCTCAGAAATAACTTCTCTTAAAGAGGAAATCGACTCTCTAACTCAGAATCTAGAATCTTCTAGAAGACAGACAAGCATGAACGATTCTAATATGGACTCTCAGTTAAAAGAAGCACAAGAACAGAATATTGTTTTACACGCTAGAGTTCAAGAATTCATGTCTAAGTGCAATCAATGCGAAAGCGAAAAACGACAAATTCAGAGGAAATTGGAAGTTTTACAAGAAGAGTTGAATCAAAAATCAGGCAATGATACAAAATTACAGCAACTAACTAGAGAAAACGAACAATTGAAAGAAAATTTGGAGGAAGAAAAAACTAAAAGCTCAGATTTGGAAAAAGTCGAAAAAGAAAATTTGTCTTTGCAAATTGAAATTTCGAAGTTCAAAAGCAAGTTAGACCAGAGTTCGAATGTTGAAAGTCAATATGATGAGCTTAAAAAAGATTTAGTGCAGTTAAAAACCCAAAATTTGAAACTAACAAAGCAGTCTGAAAATTTCAATGCTCTGACTCAGAAAATAAACCAACTTGAACTTGAGAATTCGGAGAAGCAACGTGAAATTGAAACGTTACAACACGTGATTCAAGTTAACAAGTCGGAACTTTCGAGAGCTACGGAACTTGAAGCGAGAAATCAAGCGTTGAATAATGATATTCAGAAATTGAGAAAGACGTTGGAAATGTATTCAGAGAAAGAAAGAGAAAAAGGCGACGAGTTGTCGGCGTTGCAGTTGGAAAAGGAATCTGTGCAAAGGTAATTATGATCAAAACTTACAGACTAATTGTTTTTTTTCTTTATGCTGATTGAAAGTCAGTGAAGGTTCATGTCAAAAAGTTATACCAAAGGCAATAAGTAAGCTCTTTAACTATCCCACTTTTGCAAGGGGAGGGAGATTCGTTACTAGGTACCCGAGTGGGGCAAACAGTTAAAGAGATCCAGGAAGTGAGCATACTTATTCCATTGTTGTTAATTTCAGAGTTATTTATCAAGATGCGATCAAGTTATTTTTGAAATTAAAATTTTGGTTTTTGAGGGATTTTTAGGTCTAAGCAGATAGCTTTAGTTGATTGTGTTGTCATTTAGGGAACTTGACACGATGCGAGTGAATAACGAGACGTTAGAAGTGAAGATGAAAGAGATGGCGGCACTGGACAATGACAACTGTCAGCTGGTGAAAGATAAAAGACAGCTGGAGAGAAACATCGAGAGGCTGAAGAGAGACATCGAGGAGTATGAGACGAAGGATCAGGACCAAAGGTGAGAACAATTGTTTGTTCACCTTTGGTTGTTGATAAGAGACTGATATTAGTAATATACGTGCTAATAGTTCTGTTTTGTTAGGATTTTCTCTCGCTGGTAGTTTTTAAGTTTAATGAAACGAGGCACTTTTCATAGTGGTAAGGCGTTCAATCTGTGATCGTCAGATCGTGTATACGATCCCCTACCATGGCAATAATAGTTTGTGAAGAGAATCTTTCACTTGACCGCAAATTCGCATCAACCACAGCCTGACTAATTTCGTCTGCAATAGTGGTACCACATGAAAGTTCTAGACGCAAAAGAAAACGACTCTAAGTCACACAAAAGGAGCTTCGCTCAATCAAAAATTTCAGTCGGGAGTGTGGGGATTTAATACAACCGGATTATGCTTAGACTAACTGGATCGCTTTTCATAGATCCATTGAAAATCGCAGAAACCACAATTATTTTTATGATAATCAAGTAGTATTTACTTAAATGCCGTTTTTTATGAATATCTGAAAGTGTCTCCATATTTACCCTGAAGTCAGTTTCCTCGCAATTTTTAAGCGTTAGGACATTGGTCCAGAAGCTGAGGACATATTATCGAATTGGCATATTTTGTGTTCTCCTTCCAAGTTAAAGGTACTCGTTGCTTTAAAGTATTTGTAAGCCTTTCCGAGTCCTTGATAAAAACCAAAAATTTACTTGACTCAAGGGGTCCGCAGTTGAATACTAGAATGAGCTGATTGTCTAGTTAGTAGATTTATTTAGTAATTGTCCTGTGGTGTAATTTAGGTCACGATTGGCGGTTATGGAAAGAGACTTGAAGAGAACGCAGAGGTTCACTGAGCGGGACCTCGGGAAAGATGAACAGATTCAGGAGTTGAAGAACGAGAATGCAGAATTGAGGAAACAGTCTATGGTCGACAAGAAGACCAACAACTGTCTCAGGGAGGTACGTATCAGCACTCTTGATCATGGCTTCGAGACCCGGTGTCTGCCCAAGTTTCGTTTTTTTTTTAACGCAACCCCTCTGTTTTTTTTTTGGATCTACTCCCCCCCCCCCTCCTATGGTACCTACTTAAGAATCTCTCCCCTATAATTTACGCGCTCATTTGCTAAGTGGGTTGTTAAGTAGGTCCTATCTTTTAACTCTTAAAGCATACTTAGTTTTTTAATTTACTGTTGCATTCAAAAAGCAGCTTCGAATCTTAACATTTTCAAAATCAAGTTCATTTGAAGTTAATTAATTAGGGTTATTGTTAGGGTCATGATTTTTAGGCTGTTTATCTCATCTTAGTTTTTTTTTAAAAGCCGACGAATTGGTGATCTTCTTATAACTTAAATTGACTTCGTTTTGGCTTGTCTCGTATAAATTTTTTGCTCCTCGAAACCATTTTTCTGATTTGATGCAGGTTTTCACTGAATAGCTTGCAAACCAAGTGACATACTCAATAATCTGTGCAACATATATTGATGTTTTTATGGGGGAAAAATACATTGACTGTGTTCTTTGTCTGTAGATGTCATTTTAATCCGATCGATAGAAAACCAGTTCATGAGACACAATTGCAAATGCTATCTTTGATATTCTTCCAATGTTGTGGAAAATACTGCCTAATATAAATTTAAGCGAATAATATTTTGCTAGATGAAATTTTCTTACTTGAGTCATCGATCAATTTTCTTAACTTGGTAAAAACTAGGTAAGTTGTAGTTCATCTGTGAAGGTCGCAAAGTGTTTTTTTTTGTTTTCGAATGTTTAGAGAAAAATAGTCTGTCTTTAATATGTCGTGTTTTGGTTAAGATGTTTTTTTAGTTGGCAGGATATTTTTTGAGTCCGATAAAAATTTATTTGGTTTCTTTAGTTTCTATGCCAAATTGTGGGCAATAGCCTTTTGGTCAACGAAACCGAACGAAGTTAATCAATCAATGCAAAACTGCTCGTTTCGACGTCGAATATCATTTCGACGTTTTTTGCTGATTTGCACATTTTAAACCGTCTCCATAAAAGCTAAGTAACCCATACAGCTCTAGTTTGTGGCCGATTAAATTGCTCAAGGTCTCCGATATTGCCAACATGTTTGCAATAAGTATGGAATAACTTGAAATTATATTAGCCTAAAACTGCTTATTTTGACCTCTGAAAATTTTTTTCACTTGAATGCATCTAAAACTAGTTAACCTAAAATGTACACTTTTTAATCGAATAGGTTGCTCAAGGTCAATGGTATTGCCAACAACTTGGTACTAACTATGCATGCAAGGTCATCTCACATGATTGTATGTTGTAGGAGCTGGTGAACGAGAAACTTCGTCACCAAGACCTGCAGTCGGAAATGGAGAAGGTGAAGGGAGACTTGGCAGACAAGGAGAGCAACCTCAAGCTACAGCAGCACAAGAACCTTCTCGGTAATCTACGCCTTTCAATGTTTTATCAATCAAACCTTCTTGGTACTCAACGTTTTTTAACTAACGTCTATTCAATCACTAGTGCAGTAGCGGATTTAAGGAGAATTGTTTTTGAAAATTTCCCTCCCCTCGAAAAAAATTCTAGAATTGCTCCTGCTTAAATTTTTATTGGGCTTTAAAGTTCAGCCATAATTATTTAAGTAGTATAACATCAAGCAGAAATAATTTTCAGAAGAGGGAGAGAGTATATGTTTGTATCTTTTGGTTCTAGAGCAAAGTAGTGGAGGTGGTAGTAGAACGAGTAGTCCCAACTCTTCCTTCAACAATGGCTCTCTCATGATTTCCAACAGTCTCCTAGATGTGAAGGACAAACGCATCAAGGAGCTAGAGTCTCTGTGAGTATTCTTATGTTTTCTTATGTTTCGTATTTAAAGATGAAGTGCTTGAGGGCCGAAACATAATATAATCTTCCTTGAAATCATGGCAATATTTCGCTACCCAGAAGTATTAAGATTAATGAACGTAAAGAGTAGTTTTATATAGTTCTTCGTGATTTTTTTTTTCAGTAAAAAGTCTTGAAATTTGTTCACGCTCAGTTTTGATTGTTCGCGTTTGACTTCTGATTTTTTTTAAGTTCACTTCCTTTCTTTTGTTAAAAGGAAGGCAAATTTCACTATCGAACAACAAAACTGTGAAGGTCACGAAAAATGTGATCAACTTCTAATTTCGAAAATTGGAATTAATTATTAGATTTCCCAGCGAAATGAGAATTTTACCTATTGATCTAGTTTTCTCAAAATGGGTGAATTTTATTAAGAGCAATGAATGTAGTGAGTACTCTTATATATGTTTTACAGATTTTTTTCAGGAATAAGTCTTAATTTGTTCACGCTCAATTTTGATTTTTCGCGGTTCGACTTGTGAATTTTTTAAGTTCAGTGCATTTATATTGTTTAAAGAAAGGCAAACCCCACTATCGAACAGCAAAATTGTAAAGGTCACGAAAAACGTGATCGACTTCTCATTTCGAAAATGGAAATTAATTATCAGATTTCCCAGCGAAATAAAAGTTGTACTAATTGATCCAGTTTTTTCTAATTTTAACAAAAAAGTCCATCATAAATTGCTCTACAAATTCACAGAGCTTAAAGGCCATCTATTTTTTCTTCGAAATTCAAAAATTGAAGATTTTTAAAAAACAAGTCGGTTGTTGTTTCAGTTTCCTTGACTTCCTTACTCTTTTCCAATTGTCAAATGGCTATGTTCAAAGAAGTGTCAATCATAAGTTGTTCTTCAAACTCAAAGAGCTTTAAGTCCATCTATTTTTTTCTTGGAAATTCAAAAGATCATCGCTTTTTTCCAACTGTCAGTTGGCGATGTTTAAATGATTGCATCCTAATTAACTGCATTTTTTTTATTTCTGGCTGGGAATTATTGACAAGAATTCAAGTGAGATAATAGTACGGTTCGTCCCTCGATATTTCGACCCAAATGCTAAACGCATACGAGGACCCGCAATGAGTGAAAAGAGAAATGTTTGCGGAGCAAAATGCGTGTATACTCTCAAACAGCGATAGATATTTCAAATTTTTATGCTTGCGATTAGCAAGCGTTATCAAATCGAATGTAGATTTTTTTCGGGCCAACAACTAGTTTAACAAAATCAGTTGAATCACTTATGATGCTGCTATGCAGCTGACATGCTCAATTTCTTAGGGTCACAATTTGAGTGAAAAAATGATTTTTAATAAAGAATACCCTCCCATATCTGAGATTTTTGCTTCAATCTAAAGAACGGGTTGTGGGAAGCTCCTTTACATACGCTACTACGCCCAAATTTCTTGAAACAAAAAATTATGGCTCCGAAATGTTTGATTTGTTGACCGTTTTTTTTTAAACTGTTTGTCTTTGCTCGAGAACTACAATGCCAAACCTGTGTTTTTTGGTTGAAACGAAAATGCAGGTTGCGAGAATCTCTTTATCATAAGCTGCTACGCCCAATTTCTGTTGAAACAAAAAGCTATGATTCCCGGAAATGTTAACTTTATGATTTGTTGACTTTTTCTTGGACTTATCTCGGCAACTATCCTGCCAATTCAGATATAGGTTTAATCGACACAACCTGTTGTTGGAAACATACCTTTTTAGTTTGCCACGTCCAGTTTACTTTAGAAAAAGTTATGGCCTAAAACAAGTGAAAGTTTTGAAACTTTGATCGTTTTTTTTGGAATTTTTTTACTCTACTCGAGAATTACCGTGTCAATTCTAAGGTTTATTGTTCAATCGAGAAGCACGATTTCGGGAATCTTCTCAGCTTTACCGACCATGACCTGCTTTAAGCAGAAAAAAGTTACTGATTGTGGAAAGTCAACTTTTTGAACTTTGACAGTTTTTTACCCTGTCAAATGTGAGATGAAAATATCACTCGAAGAAGCGAATTTTTTCTGCAGGTTATATATTTGGGAAGCTCCAAAATTTTCTAAGTTTTCACTCTTCTCACTTATTTTAGATTGAAACAGAAATCAGCTGAAAAAGATTCAATCCAACAGGAACTGGAAGTGCTGAAGAAACAACTGCCTAAGCCTGGTTCCAACACAACGCGTACGAACCAAGGAGTCGGTGGACTACTGTTACCTGGGCTGGATGATGTAAGAAAGTTTTACATAGAAATCACAAAACCAAAGAACAAATATATTTTCCGTTTTTTCCCTATTTAATTAGTGCAACTAGTCTACATTCATTCAGTGCGATTTTTCTGTCCTAGGTTATCAAAACTTTTCAGAACATCTATTTTTCTTGAGTTTTTCACCATTATATTTTTGGCAAGTATTTGTAAAACCTATGTTTAATCTCACTTAGGAGATATTTTGTTATCTGTTTTGTCACTTTCAGCTGTATTGGGAAAGCAAGGTAAGCTGAGTTCATAGATTGCTAGATTTGAATCGAATGGGATCTTAAAGAGAGATGCATTCAAACTCGTTGCATCCATTTTATCATCTACATCTGTGTAATGATCAACAAAATCTTCGAAACTCTATCTCGCTCCTTAGGTAATCGGAATGCTCTTGAAGCTAAATTTTGTATGCTAATTGCTCTAGTTTGTTGTTGTTGTTGAAACTATTTATTAAAAGTTTGTTGAAAATTTATCAGTTGTAAAATAGCTCGCTTTTGTTTTATTTTGCATTGATAGTGAAATGTCAGATAAAATGTTGAAAGATTTATTAGTTAACAGACTAAACGGACGGTTTCTGCTATTCACACATGTAACTTTTAATTAGCTCCTAATAATTACGCTTGTAATTAGCAAGCTTCATCAAATCGGAATTTTGACTTTTTTTCAGATTAAGTAGTGTACCAAAATCTCATGATTTATTTGAGCCAGCAATTTTCATCTGTTCTGATAGATGTTCTCACCAACAGATGCGTTTTGACATATCTGTATCTCGAATTGCGGTATCTCGAATTAATCAACTCTTTTATTTTATTTCATGTTATGCTTATTTTGTCGCGTTAATTTTTCTCGGCTTGGTTTCGGCTAATGTTATTTCGCTAGTGAGCACCTAGTGTTTTAGTATGAACCTTCTTTTTTTAGGATCTGTTTTCGGCTTTATTTGTGGCTAATGTTTGTGATGGAGTAAGCGTCGGTGGCTGAGTGGTTACTGAGTGAGACTCATGATTTCTACGCAGTAGGTTCGAGTCCGAGAGGTTATTACTAATTCGAGGCTTATTTTTTCTTGTTCTTATTGCACTTTTTAGAATTCTAGAGCTGCTGTTTGTCGTGTTCTCGCTAGTGTTCGCGAAGAGCAGCTTCGCTTCTGTTTATCAACTTAGTGGTCCTTTGATTTGACGTTTAACGGACAAAATGTTATTTACTTCATTTATGCTTTGATGTGGATTGGGTATGACAATTTTTCTTGGCTGAACGGTCGGCTACCCTAGTATTGTTTGCTTTTTTGCCGCTGGATTAATTTTGCTTCAGTACTTATTCAGAGTAATGAATGTAGTGAGTACTCTTATATACGTCTTGGTTATTTTTTTTTCAGGAAAACGTCCAAAAATTTGTGTACGCTCAATTTCGATTTTTCGCGGTTTGACTTTTAATTTCTTTTGAAGTTCGCTTTATTTCTTTTGGTAAAAGCAAGCGAAATTCCACTATTGAACATCAAAAGTGTATCGGCCACGAAAAACATGACCGACTTCTAATTTCGACATTGGATTATCAGAATTCTCAGCGAAATAAATATCTTCTTAAGTTTTTTTGGTTGAAGTGGGATTTCCCTGCGAAATCAAACTTCTACTTGTTTTGGGCTCAAACTGAGGTTGTTTTCTCAGATTTTGGTATTTTTTTTATCAAAAAAGCGCCGATCATAATTTGCTCGTTAAGTTGGAGAGCTTTAAGGGTATATATTTTTTCTCTAAATTTTGAAAGTTGCAAGTTTTTTGACAAAAAACAATTCCGTTTTTTTTCTGTTTTCATGCGTTCATTACTCTTTTCCAGCTGTCAGTTGGCTGTTTAAAATATAGAAATTTTGACTCTCGGCATAATTTTTCTCATAATGAACTACTTTCATGACAAATGTAAAAAAAAGTGTTTTGATGTTTTTTAATGTTTTTTTTTTAATTTTCTATTCTGACGTCCGACTTTTTTCCTGCTATTTTCCTTGCCTATTTTGTATTATAAGTAATGAGCGTAGTGAGTACTCCTATACAGGTCGTGCTACTTTTTCGAGGTTTGACGTTTTATTTCTTTTCAAGTTCATTTCATTTCCTTTGTTCAAAGAAAGAAAGGCGAACTCCAATATCAAGCAGCAAAAATGTAAAGCTCACGGAAAACGTGATCGCTTTCTTGTTTCGAAAAAGTGGAGTTTAATTTTCAGATTTCTCAGCGAAATGAAAACACTACCTATCGCTCCAGTTTTTATATTAGCAAGCAGCTAGTTTGTTAGTACGAACCTTCTTTTTGCTAAGCTAACTCGCAATTAGAAATTTTCATTTAAAGTTGAAAGTGTTCACTTATTTGGTGGCACTTTTGCTATAATCACAATGTAGCTTTGAAAATATCATAGCATCTATTCTCTACTTTCTTTGTGGCTATTGTTTGTGATTTATTAAGCGGTTAGTGCGTGAGACTCATAATCTCTAGGCCGTAGTAGGTCGCAGGTCGAATCCGAGACGTAGCCGAATTTTAACTAATTCAAGGCTTATTTCTACCTTTTTTCGTATTGCACTTTTTAGAGCTTCTTTTTGTCTTGTACTCGCTTATATTTGCGAAGTGAAGCTTCGCCTCATACCTCAAATTAGGTTAATTTTATCAAAAACTTTCAATCGTAAATTGTTTAGAATTCCAAAAAGCTTTAAAGCCATCTATTTTTTTGTTTGAAATTCTGAATTTGAGATTTTTTTCAAAAAAGTAATTGAGTATTATTGTTGTTTTCTTTCTTTCGTGTTTGTTTTCCAACTGTCTGTTGATATTTTGTTTAGAATTGATTCATTGAAAATCATTGTTTTCTTTACTAGAAAACTAACTGTTGGCAAGAAATTTATCTGCATTTTTGATCGCGAATGAAAAGGTTTTAATATGATACATAATTCGGCCCATTCCGATGATTATTGGTGGTACCTGATTTTGCGTAAAAAAGCAAAAAGAAAGAAGAAAAACTAAAATACACCTGAAGTCAAAGTTCCTCCACTTTTTTCAAATGGTCGGAACAAAAACGCAAACGACCTTTTTCATGACATTTAGGAGAACCACCATCATTACTGACCTATTCTTTGCACCGTTACTTTAACTGATTACTCACTAATATTAGCGGAACTTCATCGATTATTTTAAAAAGATTTCTTTTTGGTAATTCGCACGTTGCAAGCATTTAGAGTTAGAGACGAAACTGAATGCCGTAGACAATATTGAATGACAATCATAACTACCACAGAGAGTGCTTTCATAATTATCCATGAGATAATTTAACATAAGCTTTGCGATATCTCTGTCAGTCTCCAATTTTCTTGCAACTGCTTCGAAACGAGTTGTTAAACGCCAGATGGTGTCTGATGGTATAGAATGAAACACCTTTCAGTCGTAATTCGAGCTTCAATCAAAATTATCAACAAGACCAAATATTATAACTGTTTTGTTTACTGTTTAGTTTTTTTCATCGATACAACAGTAATCTGTTGTAAAATCTGTACTACTTCAAAGAGAGAAGTTTTTGTGAACAGCATGTAACTCACAGCTAGCTTATGGGAACGAAACTAAATGTTGTAGAGGAGCTTGAATTAAATCATCATAACCGAAACATTGCCTGCCACTTACTTATTTAACTATGTTACGTTTAAGTTGACATCACTTATTATCCCGACTTTCAAAGGAACTGATTGAATGTTTTTTTTTTAGAAAAGGGCCATAATAAAAACGGACCATAAGGAAACGGACTATGCTGGTCTGATAGCCTTTCATAGATCCTCTGGAATCACAGTAGCCTGAACTCTAATTGTTTTATTTTAATTTTTGACTTAATAGTCTAAAAAATCATCAGTACCTAAATATTTCATTTAACTAATTTAAACTAGTTGATATCACTTATTTAACTGTTCTAGTTCACTGCTCTGGACCGTGAACACGTGCGTGCGAGAGAGAGGATTGAGTCTCTGACTCAGCAGCTGGATGTGAGACAGAGTGAGATGAATGAGCTGCTGAGTGTGAAGTACAGACATGAAGGACAGATTGAAGCCTACAGGAAGCAGCTGCAGAAGACACATGCGGAGACTGCTAACATACAGGTAACATCCTATCATGCAATAATATTTTTATGGGTCCAAATATGATAGTAAAGAAATGGTCCCTGAAGAAAAAACTTAAGGCCTTGAAATTTTCGAAAACATGGTTCACTTTTGTTAACTTGTGTTTTTGAAGTTTTTATAAAAGTTTCGGGACCTAAAATCTTTCGTACTTGCCTTTTCCTTGGACCCAGCTATAAAACTTGTACGCTATCATGATTTTTTTGAGAATAGCTTTTAAGTCAAATTTATTTTCGAAGGGTTGAAAAGGCGAAGAAGACCAGCTAGACATAGAGTTTTCAAACAAAATTATAGAAAATAACTTAGACAGGGGTGGATCTAGGATTTTATGGTAACATTTGAAGGCCTATTTTTAGGTCGACCGAATTGATTTTATGGCCTCTCCCAATTCTTTATGAAGACCTTGTTTTTACCAAATTGGTTGGCGCCAAATTAGCGTCAAAGGCTCCGTAAGAAAAATCGTGAGTAGGAAAGCCATAAATGGATACCTTAAAAGAATACCAAAGTTCGATTCCCTGAGGGGGGAGGGGGGAAGGAGGAGCGTCCAAAAAATCAGCTAAATCAATTTATTTTTCTTTCAATTACTGTTGATTCAGTTTTCCAGCTGGCAATGGGTGCTGCGAGTTGAGCGTTAATTTTTGTTACAGTTATTCAAAAACGGACTGCACCTTTTCGACTATTTTCTAGGTCGAGTTGTCAACTCTGCGCAGCGAGAATGCCTCGCTGAAGACACAGTTTGCAGATGAGCAGAACCACAGAACAAGACTAGAACACCAGCTGCAAGTCAGAAGCAGAGATCTGGACAATGCTCAGTCCGCTTACGAACAGCTGCTGCAGGTAAAGTCGTAATTCATTAACCAGAATTATTTCTTGGAACTTCTGTGGCAAACAAAAATTGGGGAACCAATCTGGGAACAAGAACTGAGTGCTGCCAACAGTAAAATAAATATCCGTACGAAAAGTAACCTATCGAAGATAATTTTTTCAAAGCTAGTTGCTTTGAAAAAATTAAGATATTTTGTAAATGCTTGTGGCTTAATTTTTCTAGTTAATGTTTCTGGTGGTTTCTTTTACGTTTCGAAGTACTATTTTTTCAAGTAAAAGGTCAACTTGAGAGGCATTTTTTTTGCTGTTTAGGGCAATGAGATGTTGCAAGCTCTGCACTCTAATTTATCCCATGACTATGAAGATAGAATGTCTCAATTCACACAGCTGAAGAACGACCACAAGAAGCTCTCCAATAATCACAGAGGTAGATCATTGATTACGACTTGAGTCTTTCAAAATCAGTTATAACATACATTGTGAAAAGTCACAACATTTCAAGTTGACATCTTAATCGAAATAAAAGGTTGATTACGGAAGAAAATATATAGCAAGTTATTTTTTTTGGGTTCATCAAATAGAAGAAATATATTTCTGCTTTTGCTGGCTGAATATTTTTTTGGAAAAACGATTTTCGGGTAACATAATTTTTTCATTACATTTGACCGTAAACTACAGTTTTTCATTAGGTTTTGTTTCACTTTGATCATTTTTCTATATATACATGGAGCAAGTGTTTGATTAAGTTTCAAGAAATGTTTTTTTTTTAGACTGAAGATATGGAAACCAAAATTGGTACGATATAATAAAAGAGTGGTGTACTAGTTTCAATTGCGTCGAAACCTTTAAAATTAGAGTCACCTATACTTCTTGATTTTTTAGAGATTTATATAATTTATGTATGAATCATTTCCAAAATGGGTGATGTTGTAATGGCCTAATTTTAGACCTGAAAGAGAAGTATGAAGTTCTCAAAAGTGAAAAAGACACCTTGGAAAAGCAGAACACCTCTCTCAAAGGCCAACGCGACTCTCTGCTGACAACCACCTCCTCTGGAAAGCAACAGCAGTCGAATGGAACTTCTTCGTTTGCAGAACTGGAGGAGCGATTGGAGAATTACAAGAAGTCTAATTCGAATCTGAAGATGATGAATGCGACTTTGATGGAGGCGTTTGAGAAGTTGAAAAAGGTGAGTGTTCATATAGAGTTATCTGAATTCTGATTGGTTTACATATATTTTGGTCATTCTTGAACTTGAACTTGAATTCATTTAACCAGAAACTTTACCTTACATTATTAGGTCATTCGATCCTTCTGACGTGAGGGGTTCCCCCATAGATAGAAATAATTAAGGGACTCGAAGTTTCAAGGGAATTTAATTGTCACTTTTTTATGGCACCCAGAGTCTTTCCCATTATAGTCCCAGCAAAATATACCCCCCTACCTTAATAGTAAAATTACAGTGTGGTGGGCTCTAACTTTTTTATTACTGAGAGGGGTGTATTGGGAAAGAAAATCCGACAGTGGTGATACTGAACAACCAACATGTTTGCCCAGTATATGATTCTTCTTATTATGATTATTATTATTATGATTATTATTATGATTATTATGATTATTATGATTATTATCATTATGATTATTATCATTATGATTATTATTATGATTATGATTATGATTGTTATTATGACTATTATGATTATTATTATGATTATTATTATTATTATGATTATTTTTATTACCATTACTAGTAGTATTATTATTATTATGATTACTATTATGATTATTATTATTATTATGATTATTATTATGATTATTATTATTATGATTATTATTATTATGATTATTATGATTATTCTCATTATGATTATTATTATTATTATGATTATTATTACGATTATTATGATTATTATGACTATTATAATTATGATAATTATTATTATTATGATTATTATGATTATTATCATTATGATTATTATCATTATGATTATTATTATGATTATGATTATGATTGTTATTATGACTATTATGATTATTATTATGATTATTATTATTATTATGATTATTTTTATTACCATTACTAGTAGTATTATTATTATTATGATTACTATTATGATTATTATTATTATTATTATGATTATTATGATTATTATTATTATGACTATTATGATTATTATTATTATGATTATTATTATTATGATTATGATTATTATTAATATGATTATTTTTATTACTATTACTAGTAGTATTATTATTATTATGATTATTATTATTATGATTATTATTATTCTTATTATTATGATTATTATTATTATGATTATTATTATTATGATTATTATTATGATTATTTTTATTACTATTACTAGTAGTATTATTATTATTATTCTTATTATTATGATTATTATTATTATGATTATTATTATGATTATTATTATTATGATTATTATTATTATGATTATTATTATTATGATTATTATGATTATTATTATGATTATTATTATTATGATTATTTTTATTACTATTACTAGTAGTATTATTATTATTATGATTATTATTATGATTATTATTATAATGATTATTATTATGATTATGATTATGATTATGATTATTATTATGACTATGATTAGTATGATTTTTATGATTATTATTATGATTATTATTATTATTATGATTATTATTATGATTATTATTATAATGATTATTATGATTTTTATTATGATTATTATTATTATGATTATTATCATTATGATTATTATTATGATTATGATTATGATTGTTATTATGACTATTATTATTATTATGATTATTATTATGATTATATTATTACTATTATCATTATTATTATTATTATTATTATTATTATTATTATTATTATTATTATGATTATTATGATTATTATTATTATTATTATGATTATTATTATGATTATTATTATGATTATTATGATTATTATGATTATTATTATGATTATTATGATTATTATTATTTTGATTATTATTATTATTATTATGATTATTATTATTATTATTATTATGATTATTATTATTATGATTATTATTATAATTATGATTATGATTATTATTATTATGATTATTATTATTATGATTATTATTATGATTATTATTATGATTATTTTAATTATTGTTATTATTATTATGATTATTATTATTATGATTATTATTATTATGATTATTATTATGATTATTGTTATGATTATTTTTTATTATTATTATGATTATTATGATTACTATTACTAGTAGTAGTATTATTATTATGTTTATTATTATGATTATTATGATTTTTATTATTACTATTACTATTAGTTTTTTATTATTATGATTATTATCATTATTATGATTATTATTATGATTATTATTATGATTATTATTATTATTATGATTATTATTATGATTATTATTATTATGATTATTATTATTATGATTATTATGATTATTCTCATTATGATTATTATTATTATTATGATTATTATTACGATTATTATGATTATTATGACTATTATAATTATGATAATTATGATTATTATTATTTTATGATTATTATTATGATTATTATTATGATTATGATTACTATTACTAGCAGTATTATTATTATTATGATTATTATTTTTATTGTTATTATTATGATTTGTATTATCATTTCACAGGAGCGTGACCACGTGGACTCAAAGCGGACAGAGAGCAGACAGAGGGAGAGGGAGAACAGTGAGTTGAGGAGTCAAGTGTCCAATCTGCACTCATTCAGTGAGGAACTAGAGACACAAAACCAGAAGATGAAATACGACTACGAGGTAAGAAAGAAATTGATTGGTCGGCTGTTTTTGAGCACATTGAATGATAACATACAATTGTGATCTGGGATTAGAAAGGATTTGATATTGTATTTCAGATTTGAACAACAGTGATTGTCATTTTTTAAAACCGAGAATTGTGAAGTTTGAGAATTGTGAAATTCCTTTTTGATTTCTTCTAAATTCTATTCAGTAATTTATTTCAAGAATAGCTGTTTCTGTATTTCACGTATCCAACAGCTACCAATTGGTGGGGTTTTGAACATCTCTGTTGAGGTTTTGTCTTCTTAACTGGCTAAATGACCTTTCCAATCCAGGATTCTTGCACAGATCGATTAACTGCACCTAAACATTCGAACACAAATTTAGAATAACCAAATTGATTAGTGTAGTCTATTGATGCTATGTGATTTAGCTCGGATCGTGCAAAGAAGTAAGTACTCACGAAAACACATTCTGATTTAATCTCGCTCTAACTCTCTGAATTAAAACTAGTCACCAAAATTCACAAGACTTGATAAGTTTTTGTTCGTTCTTAATCCTAAAAATTAATCGTTACTAAGTTACAGGTGTCTTGTTTCAGCAAAATCACAAAGATTATCCTCTCAACGATAAAAAATTTGATGCTGATAAACTAAAAAACAATAAGTTTTCCTATCGAGTTGACAAAATTAACAACGTTAAGATGGCAAATTTTGATTTGTTTTAGCTGTTGAAATCGCACAATGACCAGTTGTCCCAAATGTGTATTGAGTATGACGCACTTCATGAACAGCTGAGAAGTCGTCAGTCGAGGAGGCCGAGAAGGGAGAGTCACCGAAGCAGCAACTACCACTCCGCAAATGCGGATTTCGAAGTGCCGGTGAGTAGTTTCGTAGTTCTAAATCCACCAGTTTTTATTAAGAGTTATGAATGTAGTGAAGACTCTTTTACAGGTTTTGCTGATTTTTTTTTCAGGAAAAGGTCTAATAACTACATATTGATGTATTTATGAATGCACTAAGGTATATATGCACTTTTTGAATTCAATTGAAATTCATCTGCTGAAAGTGGCGTAAATAGCAGAAAGTGAAATCTACTGTTCCGACTTTTGATACGAAAGTAACGGAATATTTGTGCTCGGGGTGGGTTTTTTTTTCTTCAGACAAATTTCGACTTTTTAACTAGCCATTTTTGACGGAACTTTTTTTATATCATTCGAAAAGTATTGTTGTCCTGAGCTCAAATTTGAAAAGATATTTTACCTGTGATCATTTTTCGTAAAGTTATGGGGGTTTAAAGATTGCCATTTTGGCCAATTTGGGACAATTAACGCGCGATATATTTCGCGCTATTAACGCGTAAGCGGAGAGTTAATCCGTCTTAAAATCGTTCCAAATTGGTTAAAAGAAGCTTATTTGCCATAATTGATTGGTTACAAGGAGCTAAATCTATCTTTTTGTACTTTAAATGGCGTGTGGGGGGATGATTTTCATAAAAAATTTCAAATTAAAAAAAAAATTTTTTTTAAATTTTATTACATTTAATTTTTTAATGTTATTGCTGCTCCATAAAACCTTAAAAGGCAGTCGGAACATTCAGGGCTTCGCCCTGATACGAGCAGTCTTGTTCTAGTTTCGAATTTATTTTTAAGATTTCCAGCGGAATAAAAACTTTACCTGTTGATCCAGTTTTCTCTAGTTGGATTAATGTTATCAAAAAAGCGCCAATCAGAATTTGTTCTAGAAATTCAAAGAGCTTAAAGGGCATCTATTTTTTTACTTCGAAATTCGGAAGTTGAGATTTTTTCAAGAAAGTCAGTGTTTTTTTATGTACATTGCGTTCATTACTCTTTTCCAATCTTCGATTGGCTATGTTTTACAATATCTAATGTTAATGTTGATAACACTATTTAATTGTGATCACTTGGTCAGTGTCAGCTATTTTTTTCTGTTATCTTAGCAGTCAGAAATGCGTCGGCGTCTTTTTAGGGAGTGTTGGAGTTGGTTTTAAACACTGCGCGAGTTAGGCCAATCAAATTGATTTTACTTTTGAACCCCTGAACTTTTGAAAAGACGTCTAATACCATAAAGGCTGGTGGCGCAGGTTAATTTGAGAAATGAGAAAATGTGCAAAAATGTTGTTCCTGGTCTATTTTTGGAAGTTTGGTTGATCCAGGTCACGACATCAGAGACTATTCCGAGTCTGTCTAGCGCTGGTCGAGGAGGAATGCCACCGGGTGGTGGGGATATAGAGGAGACGACGGACGAGTTCTCGAGTCAAGTGAGGACACCTTCGCTAGAACATTTGGATGAGACTAAACTGAGAATGAGGTAAATCTTCGTTTAAACGGAAAATATTTGAAGATTTGGTTTAGTTAGAATAATGAAAAGTTATATTCACATAGATTATCATTTTCGACAAGGATTCAAATGAGCTAAGATGGCTCTTCTAGTCAAAGTCCTTGTTGCCTGGTTGGAATCATCATTTTGAGAAAATGTTCTTGATTTTTTTATTACTCCATGTTCTGTGTTTTGGACAAAAATAACCAGTTATGTAAATACAGAACATGAAGAAAAAAAATGAAGAACTTTTTCTCTAAATGATGATTTCAACCAGGTTGCTTACTAGAAATGTTTTGATTAGAAGAGCCTCTTAACATAATTTATTATTTTGCTAACATATAAGCCACTTGAAAGACGCAGATTATTTTTGACGAATACAGTTTTAGAGAAAAAATTGATCTTCACTTTAGTATGTTGCGGTTAATAGCCTCAAAAATGTATGAAATTTAATATGATTTTTTTTTCATGTAGGGAGAAGTTTGCTGACATCCAACATCAGCAACGAAAACTGTACGAGAACAGTGCTTTTGTCACCGCCACGCTTCCCCGATCATCCAACACTGACTCACCTAGTCTGCACCGGAAGTAAGTACCGATCGAAAGTTACGTAATGAACCAACCGAAAGTTAAGTCTTTGGAATAACTTGCATGACTGTCGTAATTTTTGATAATCCAAACGTAACCATTATGTTACAATTTACTGTTTTTTGGTATGTATGGTAGCTGTTTATATACCACCAATACTTGAGCGAGGTAAAACTGCTAAAGGATGAAAGTGCCAGTAATGTTTAATTTTGCGTATATGCTGAACCTTTCAATAGACTTTTTTAAAGTAATCGGGGATTGATTAGCTCCTAAGCACCAAAGTAAGAATTAGCCACGTGTGTAGTGTTGAGAAGTGATATGAGAAAAGTCAAACAATATCACTTTGAGTTGTGCTATTAAGTTTTTGATTTTTATCCAGTTTTTTTAACATTGTCAGCAGCTTTTGAATGTTGAAGGCAAGTGCAGCGAATCTTTCTCGGACTTTGGCGTAAGCACTAGAATCATTTTTGTTATTTGTTTAAATCTGTAATATCGTTTAATCATATCCTCACCTTATCCTGACCCAATGAAATATTAAATTTCACCGGAAATACAAAATTACAATACGAATTGAACCATGTTTAGTTTTGAACCATCAAATCCAAAGATTGTATTTTGAACACAATGATTATCAACGAAATATACTTGCATATACTTTTTTCTCTGATGTTTTATTGCAATGAAAAGCTTTTTACTATATTTGCTAAGTGTTAAAGAACGACGTGATTACACTTGCGCAGCAAAGTGTTATAGTAAGAACTTTCTTTTTTTCCAACCTTATTCGCAAATATTATTGCGACTAAGTCCCAAATATTGTCGCGGCTTAAAACAACAATATTTGCGGCATCGAATTGGCATGACAGCTTATTTGTTGCTCCTTTGTAGCTTATTGATAACCTGTGCTTTGACATTCGAATAGTTATAAGTTTACATAGTTGATCATTTTTAATTGATCAAATGAACCCAAAAAGCTATTTGTTTGAAACAACATAACAATAATAAAATCTCGATTTCAGAAAATTTCTAACTCAATTTATCTCACAATTTTTTGAAATGCATAATTTATACATAATGTGGCTGTATGGTTTGCAAATTATTACATGCAAAATTGTATCTTTTTGTATTTAGTGCTACTTTTGCTGCATGGAATTGGCAATTTATTAGCAGATGTAGCTGCGTTATTGGTGGCTACTTTTTGGGGGTTTTAAGCATTCGTGGCTGAATGGTTAGCGCGTTAGACACAGATTTACTAGGTCGCAGATTTTAACTAATTCGAGTTTTTACTAAGCCTCGACTTTAACAAATTCGAGGCTTGTTTCTACTTTCATTTTCTTATGTCACTTGATAGAGCTGCTTTGTGGTCGTGTTCTCGCAAGTGTTTGCGGAGCGCAGCTTCGCCTCTGTGTTTTTCACTGTAAGTCTATATTTTTTTCAAGAAGTATATTCGCGCTCTGTTCTTGAGAGTCAATGAACGTAGTGAAGACTCATAGATAAGTTGCGATGGCTCTTTCTTTTTTTCAGGAACAGTCTAAATTTCAGGCTCAATTTTTTTCTTTGTTATAGGGAGGCAACTCCAATATCGAACAGCAAAAGTGTAAAGGGCACAAACAACGTGATCGATTTCTATTTTCGAACGTGAAATTTAGTTGTTGATCTAGTTTTTACACTTACGATCATCTCAGTGTGTTATTACGAATTTACTTTTTTAAATAACTTTTGCAAATAAGTGTTCATTAAAAGTGTTCACTTATTTGGAAATTTCACAGTAGCATTGGAAATGGCATAGCATCTTTTCTCTGCTTTTCTTGTGGCTAGTGTTTGGCGTATATTAAGCTTCCATGGCTGAGTGGTTAGTGTGTGAGACTCTTAATCTCTAGGTTTCGAATCTCAGAGGTATCCGAATTTTGTTACCAATTCGAGGCTTATTTCTAATTTTTATTATTGCACTATACAGCTGCTTTTTGTCGTTTTCTCGCAAGTTTTTGCTAAGCGAAGCTTCGCCTCTGTGTCTCAAATTGGGTTAGTTTTATCAAAAAAGTGTCAGTCATAAATTGCTCTTAAAAATTCTTAGAGCTTTTAGGACATCTATTTTTGTTCAATTCGATTTTTTCAACAATGTTTTTCTTTTTACTTGAGTTCATTGATTCTTATCCAACAGTCTGCTGGCTATGTTTAAAAAACTGTCAATCAGAAATTGATATTGAAGCTCAAAGAGTGTACATTTTTTATTCGAAATCTGAATCTTGAAGTGTTTTTCAAAAAAAAAAAGATTTCTGTTTCATTTCGCTTTTTTGACTCTTTTCCAACTGTCTATTTATCGTGTTATATAATGGTGGTCTATTTTTTTGGTTATTTTTATTCAAATTCAATTATTGAATGCAGTTTTTTTGCGGTTAGTGTGTTTCTAAAAGCCGCAATCTCGAAAAAGTTTTGAATTTCATAAGATTTAAGGTGATATAGTTTTCTGAAAGATAAGCCAAGTTCTGTGAAAGTCAAGCCAAATAGCTAATTTTTTCACTTTTTTTCAAATAATTTTGCATATTTCGGTTGGAATTTATCTCAATTACACATGTACATTTGTGCAAATTTTGTATTGTTGCTACCCATAGCACATTTCATTGCAAACTTTTGCTTTTGTTTAGCTTGATCAATCGATTTTCAGATTAATTATTGCAAAAAGTGTGCTGATAATGCTGTGCTCACATCAGAATGAAGATTAGTGGTTTTTTTCTCGTTTCGGTATTTAGAGTTTCTTGCTTACACGTTCTTTTCAAGCCAAGAATCATGTGCTTCCTCATGATACTTGCTTCTGACGACGTTATTTTTTTCGTTCATATTGTGAGTTTAGGTATGACAATTATTGTGAAATTCAGTTTCGCCTCATATTCAAGTTTTAATGAACGAAATCGTTTTTCACATTTTGTATCTTTTTTTGGAATCTCGTTTTTTTTGGAATCAAATATATAAAAAATGACTTTGAAGTCTTTTGACAAGTGCTCAAATTATAGTTAAAAATGATGACAGTAAAAAACGCGCTGAAGTTATTTTTAAATCTGTATTTTACAATGCTCAGGGAGTTTTGAAAAACTGCAAAAAAGATGGGCAGCCTAGCAAACGGAAAGTAGTTTTGTAGATTTTTTCGAGACTTCTTAAATGACTTTGAATATTAAGTTCGAGCTTTTCGTACTCATTCGAGATTTTTTGTAGCAATTCTTTGTGTTATATTACTCTTTTTTTTCCGACCCAACCGGCATACCTTAGTACTCATCAAATGGGTGGCAATCTGCAAAGGAGTTTAACATTGACATTTTAATAGCATGTGTTGAGTGCGCTTCATTGGTGGCTAATAAAGCAAGACGGTATGGCGCTGCTGGCAACACAAAGACTCCAACTACAAGTCGGATGTTGGATTCCCTTGCAGAGGAATTTTTCAGAGGTTTTTTATTTGTATCCATTTTAAAGCTCCAATTAGCTGATTTTTTGTGTGCAAATCTCAGCTTCGCCTCTGTGTAAATACTTAGTGTAAGAAACTTCCAATTGAAACTGTAAAGGCTCAATTGAAAATCGCTTTCCAATGTGAAAATTGCGGGAAAATACTTTCGGGTTGACTAAGCTGCCAATTCGAGCTTGAAAACTAAGTAATCAATACGATTTAAATTCTAATTTCATCTCTGCTGAATTTGTTTTCAATACTGTTACGTAGTTATTTATCTGCAGTTATTTGAAGAACTTGTAGTTTCTGCTCCAAGTCTTTGTTCTTCTTATCAGCCTCTCTCAGTTTCTTGTCCACGTACACCATTCGGTCTCTGGCAAGAATGAGTCCAGTCTCTGCACTCACTCTCCGGATGGCGTCTTGCACTTTGCTAGTGGACTGTTTGGCGAACCACTGCGAACATTTCTCCACTATATCCTGCATGTCGAATTTGTCGGCGCGCTCTGAAACAGTTTTTAGTTGATAAAAACAGTAGCTTGCCAATGTTCAATGTTGTTAATCATTTTTTGTCTAAGAATTAACCGTTTTGCTACTATTTTGCGACTGTCATTTCCGGCAGAACAACTTTTTAGAGGCGTTTTCCAGGAAAAAGTAGTGAATTTTGGTCACGCTAATTTTGATCTTTCGTAGTTGGAATTTTGATTTCTTTTAAAGTGATTTGTTATATCTAATCCTTCTGAAATGCTCATAAGTGCACATTTTCTTCGTTGAAATATCTGCTGAGCAGAAAATTTGGTCGATTATGATCATATACTGCATAAACAATGAAAATTGATTTCTTAAAATATAGAAATAACATATTTGAATTTGTACCGAAAGTATTGGTAACTCTTCACTCCAGATTTAAGAAATGCCTGATATGAATTCTCAACTCGCTGAGAGAGAAAGCTGAAATGGCGCAAAAGACGTGAATGACTTATAGGCTCGAAAGTTGATTTTAATTTTAAGATTTCCCAGGGGCATGATAAAATTACCTATTGATTTCATTGATTTCGTTTTCTCTAGTTTGGCTAGTTATATGAATACAGTATTCTTGAAATTTTGGTAGCTTCAATATGATTTTTTTGAAAGTTTCAATAAATGTCAAATCTTTTTTTGGACTTTTTCACTTTTCCGTGTTGATTGACCTTTTTCCTGTGCGAGTTAAAGAACTTGAGTTAAACGTAAATTAAAAAGAAGTCTCAGCTCTGCATATGTTGAGAAACTGTTCATTTAAAAAAAAAAAACTTAAGTAAAAAACCCTTAGAATTATCTTTCACTGTTTCATTTTTAGATAGCAAAAAAAGATTTACTCGCATTATTTTATATATTTTTTTGTTTTCAAGTGTGAGCTTAAGTTTTTATTTTTTTTGAGTCGTGTTGATTTCTTAATTTTTTTAAAGCTTTTCATAATCAATTTGATTTTTCCAGGTTTGACTTTTGTTTTTTTTTTAAATCAATTCAAATTCATTTGCCAAAAAGAAGGCAAATTACGCTTTCAAATAAAAAAAGTACAAAGTGCGCGACGAAACTGATATTGCTTTCCATCTTACCGAGTATCTGTGTCATGTGGTTTACTGTGCCTCCCATCCTTCCATTGAGTTGCTCGTCTAGTTTGAGTTCGATGAATGACCGCACGCGTGTTTTGATTGTCTCAATCTCAAAGGCAATGGCACTCGTCATCAACGAGTCTACGTTCGAATCTGTGCAATGAAAAAACGTCCTGTGTAATTTTTGACACCATTTCATCTGTTTTGTAAACAACTCGTGATTTAAACTGGGTTATCCAGGATTTGTCTAATAAGTTTGCTCTACGTTTTAAGTTTATTCGAAAACTGCCTTTCTAATCACCTGTCGAGAGTTTTTGAAACCATTTCAGCTTAAACAGCTTTATTCACAGATTGACTGACTTTTGGTCATCTCCATCTGTGCGTTCGTATATTTCGTAGTTTTTATATTGGTTGAAAATTTACCAATTCCAATTTTTGTATATAATTCTTTCTGTTTTTTTTTTTAAATTATTTGGCTCGAAAGGTTTAGGCTTATTATCAAGGTTGGGCTTATGGGGGGACACCCCTTTCAGGGATCCGACCCAAAAAAGGTCGGCATATTTTTTTGAAAATCCCCCCTCGAGAAAATCCTAGATCAGCGCTTGCTTATAATATATCGGCTTGAGGCCTGTTTTTGAGCCGTTTGAGGAGCAAAATGGTTTTGTCTAAATATTTTGAGGGGGAATTTTTTGAGTTTTAAAGTTGTGCTTTAAAAGTAATTTTTTTTGTTGCAACGCTTGTCTGCTCAAGAACTGTCGGCTTTGTTACCGCTTGGTAACTTTTGTTTCGACATAACTTTTTATTGGCTCACTTCTTGGCATTTTTTCTTGATAAGAGTTTTCATTTAAGACAAAATCAAGACAAAAGTAGGAAAATTTTTGGTAGATCATTTGTTTTTGATTTGCTTTATTTTTTGATATTTTTTGAATCGCCTCTTACCATCTATGGGTTTGAAACAAGGATATAGACACTGGAATAGCTCCCTTATGTCCTCCAGTTTGTGTCCCTGGAACTCTATCTTGTTGTCGTCTTTGTGCACCACCAGCATCAGTTTCTTCCACTGGGGACTGAACTGGGCCAGGTACTCCCTAGGTCAGCTCAATTTCAAGCTGCGGTACCATTTAATATATATGGGTACTGCGGAATTTGAAGTTTGAGCTGCAAATTTGCATGTGTAAGGTTTATGTTTTTGAGTAATTTTTTTGTAAATAAATTAAATTTATCAGTTTTTGTTACGAGTCTATTTTGATTCTCTTTAGAAAAGATAGTTTGAAACTTATTTTTGTTAAATTGTGTAATTTACTTCAAACAATTTTGTGTTTTTTCTATAAGAGTTTATCTTAACTGTTGTTAATAGGCAATTTGTATAAATACGCAAAAATGTCTTTAGGTCAGATCAATTTGTTGTTACATTTTACAAAGTCTACATCCGAAAATGATCGCTTGCTCAAGGTTTCCAGAACATCTACCGGTAGCATGTTTAGCGTAAAAGGCCACACGTCTTTCAGGGATTCGACACTCTGACCACCCAAGAGTCTATTTGGGCACTGCTTTACTGCATCAATTTTTGTAAAACGTTTTTGACGCCAGAGTGTACTGTTTTTTTTTCTTAAGCGAGTTTTTGGTCAAAATCTTCCAAAAGCTGCGAAATAATTATTTGGCCATTTTTCGTGAACATCGTACGTCCGCGACGGCCACCTACCTGTGTACTCTGAGTTTCTTTCCCTCAACTTCAACAATGAATTTAGCTGTCTTGTCGTCTTCTGCCTTCTCAAATGTGGGGTACTGAATTTGGTCTAAAGAGAAAGAGGAACATTAATTTTTGATTAACTAGTGATTTCTGCTATTTTTCAGTCAATTTTTTGGGATTTTAATTTTTATGAAAATGATTGTAACTGGGCTTTGTGCATACGGGGTGATAACGTTCGCGGCTCTCTCTCAATTTCGATTCTTGAATTGTATTTCACCAAATCCTTTTTTGGCTAAGCTACCCCTTTAATTTTTCTCAAGACACATTTTGCGTCAATATGCCTGAATTGTGAAAGACGTAATTTTTAGTTCAAACCTTCCAAAAGGTACATCAGACGTTTTTAATGTTTGGATATTACATTTTAAATTTTGAGTTTTGGTAGATCTAGAAATATAAAAACAGTTCCCCAATAGATAAATGACTACTCGAAAAACCGGCTCCCGCGTCAAAAAACGCAACTACGTGTATTTTATTTGATGCTTACCTTTTCCTTTGGGTTTTGCCATCTTAAATCGAATCAAAATAAAACGTTAAGAATTTATGAAACATATTACACGCACATTTTTACGTGCAAAATTTAGAATGGTTTTCAATGATGGTAATAATGAATAAAGTTGTTTATGACTACTACAAAAATCGTGAGATAATTTTCTTACATCTAGCTTGCTTTAGTTAAGACGTTTGTTTTATTCATCAGTTTTTTAGTCAAACATATCAAATCACTTTTGATAGATTTTCCGATTGCGTAATTCAAGAAAACGGTCTACATCTTTCTGACTAGCCCTACATCTTTCTGAATTCCTCGAATCTCTTTAACTATCCCCCCCCCCCCTTAACAAAAGGGGGAGGTTGGTTACTAGGTACAAAATTCAAAAATGCTTAACCGTCGAAATGGTTCACTATAGAATGGGAGACCAAGGGGGTTGTGGAATATATAAAGATATTCATATTTTCGAACCCCTCGCCGACCAAAAGGTTCTTCACCTTCTTTGGTACTATTTTATCCGACATTAAGAGAAGACTATTTATCCACGAGGGAAATGACCAACATACGAGCTGTACAGCTCATGACGGCGAATCGCTGTTAGGCTTCTGCTTAAGAATTAAATGCAGTTTTTTGGTTATTTTTCTGGGCTGGGTAATGTTGCCTCACCCTCAAGCATCGGATTATGGTGGGCCTCGAACATCCGACCTTTCGTTTGAGAGGCGGAGACGTAACCACTTCACCACCGCTCCCCTACTTCGCCACCGCTCCTCGACATTCATTTTCTCCGTCCGCCCTCTGGTGACACGAAAGAGGGTATTGTTCATTAGTTGACGATCAACACGACCATAAACGACGGAATTGTTCGATTTTTTGTTGCAATTTTTTTCACTTGTCTAAACTCGAATCGCCTAGTTGGTATTAGTTCTTGAGAATCATTTTTATTCTTTGATATATTATATTCTTGTTGAGTTTGACCCTAAAGGGTCTAATTAACTAGAAGGGGGATTACGTTGACGGTTGCGTATCTTGGAGTTGACTTGGATGTAGGCTTTTATCATGAATTTCAGACGTCATTCTTCGCGTGTTCACTTGGGCAGACTAAGTCGCTCTTTTTTGAACCCGACTCACTGGTTTGTTAATGGACCACTTACCATTCTCTCTTAATTCTATTTTCGTTCTGATCTAGTTTCAAAGGCTACAGGTTGGAATATGTTCCAGAAATAATAGCACGCAACCCCTAAAATTTAGTATCTAATTCAATCTAGTATAATGAAGAGAAAACTGGGCACATATTTTGACTCTGCCGCCAGTGTTTTTTTTTAGTCGAGAACAAACAATTAGCGCGTTGAGCATACAAATATTGAAAAGAAAAGCGACCTCATATTATTTAGAAGACATGTTATTTCATTTGTTTTTGCGACAATGTGTCATATTTGAACGAATCACTACGTATGCAGACTAATGATACCATTAAAGATAAGTCGAAGTTTCCATTTTAACCGATTTTAGTTTCGCTTTTAGGAAAGGACCCAACCTCATAAAACAGCTGAAGAAGTCTCTCTCCAAGAGTGGTTCTTTTTCGAGGGACTCGCAGCCGAAGCTAGCAGTGACGTCGACTGCAAGGCGGAATAGTCGAGATGACGACTCCGTCTCAGCCGAGAGAAACAACGACAGTTCGTCGTTCGGATCTCGTGAGTAGAATAAAATTAAACTTACCAATGTTTAATAAAGTTTAACATTGATGTTTTGTTGAACGGCGGCCTGCCTATGACATGTGTAAAAGAAAAACAGTTGCAGTTCGTTAAAAAACTTTTCTTTTTGAAAAGTGAATGAAATCACAAAACATTTCATTTTTTTGCTCAATTTAAATTTATTTTGTTCCGAATAGCACTTACAGGTGAGAAGGAATGATATCCCGTGATATTTTTTCAGATCAAATTAAAAGTGTCAATGAACGAAATGAAAACACTTATTGAGGATGTATGGCTGTTTAATGTTTCCAGAAAAATGTCTTATAAACTAAGTTGAACAAATTCATTTGCAAAAAGGAACTTGCGCTCTTCAATGACAAAAGTGTGGATAATAAAATACATGCTTGAATAATTTATGTTCAAATGAGTTCGTTAACAATTTAATCACCAGAATTTTTTTCCATTGTTTTCTTTGTGTTATAGGTTTGTTTTGTCATTTCATTATCGTCCTAGAAGTGAATAGACCGTTGTCTCAATTTGAAAACTTGCTCAATATAAATAGTTTAAAGTCATGCTGTTTTTTTTGCCTTTTAATCTTATTTTTTATATATAAAATCGCAAGTTTTTTCTTCACCTGGCTTAGTTGTGTCAAATGTATTTTTAATTTTCCATAAGTGATAGAAAAAATTACACACTGATCCAGTTTTATCAAATTTGGGTAAATTTATTTAATAAGTGTCAATCATAAATAATTCATGAAATTCAAAAAACGTTAAGGCCATTTTTTTTTCATTGAAATTCGAAAATTTAAGTTTTTTTAAGAAATACGTCAGTATTTGGTTGTTTCCTCTGGTTCATTGACTCTTTTCGAACTGTTTGTTTGCTTTTCTTTTGCTTTCTCGAGCAAAATTGATTAAACTTTCTCGCATTGACGTAGTTTACTACAAAAGACTCTTGAAACTCTAGGTTATATTTGTTTTGAATTTTTGGAAAAAAAAATTCTGTCTTCTGGAGTAAATAGAAACTTTTTCAACCACTGTTGTTTGTTTTAATTTTTTTTTGGCTAGTGTAAGCAACGAGCATCTTATCTCTGTATAGTTTTGTTGTTTACACAAGTAACGAAAGCTTGTGTGATAGTTTGAACTATCTTTTTTCCAACCTAAATCGCAAATATTAGTGTTCATTTTGAAAATGTTCATTTTGATCAATAAACAGCTATTAAGTACAGCCAATGCTAAGGATATTATCACAAACTATCATATTAGAAATAGCAATTTAGCTTCATAGGTCTGTAGCGTAGAGGTAGAGAAGGAGATTCGCAGCAAAATAGGATGGTTCGAGCCTGGGAAGGGTCTGATGTTTTTAATGAACTTTTTCGTATACTAGTTAAATTGCGTCCGCTCTTTAAGTTGTGGCACGTTATGGTGGCTAGTGTTGGCGATGTTTTTGAATTGTGAAGCGTCTGTGGCTGAGTGGTTCGTGCGTAAGACTTATAGTCTCTGGGTCGCAGGATCAAATCTGACACGCAGCCAAATTTTCCTTAAAAATCCTGTTTTTTTTCTCTTATTTTTCAGGGCTTTTTCTTATTTCACTTCATAGAGCTGCTTTTTTTTTCGTTCTCTCGCTAGTGTTTGCGGAGCGCAGCTTCGTCTCTGTATTTAAACTGTGGTCAGAACACTCTGTGCTACTTGCACAGAAACCGGCTGTCCTTGTTCCCTATTGTTTTGGCTTTTGTATGCGAAATGCATTTTCTGTGTAATGATTCTGGAAAGACCGGCTGCCAACTGATCTCTCAAAGTAGAATTGGAACAATAGTTTATGGTGTGATAAAAATATTTTTGATTCAAAAATTGGTGTACTATATTGAATGAAATTTTTCACTGTGAACTGGTTTAAGCCAATAATTTACTTTCCAATATCATAATTGTAAGTTTCCGTGAATTTTTCCTTTTTAGCCAGGGGCTTGTTTTTAGACCAATAAACCCACAAAACATATACAAGTCAGGACGGTAAGATGATCCTTCAACATTACCATTTTTATTACAACACCGTTAACATTTATTACCTGACAAGAGGGTTGGCTTTTAGTGCACGTTGCTTTGCTTTCATGTCTTGTTTGAACTTGATGCTATTTTGCGTTTTCACATAAATTGCATATTTGAAATAGACCAAATTAGCAATTTTTTGATAGATCAAAGTGGTCAAAATTTGTTTTTTGTTCATTAAATGATTTTTGAGACTTCATTGTAAGATTCGAGCCACATTTTCTCAGGTTCTGCATTCATTGATGAAACGGCTGGCAAAGTGTCTAGTTTTCCGAAAGATTTTCGATTTTTTTTTTCACCAAGAATGTTCTTTTTTTTCCAGTATCTGTACCCAGTTATGAAAACCATATCACTCATTGCAAGACTTAGGAAAGAAAATACATAATATTTTGACTAATACTAGCAATTTTAAACAAAATTTAGCGGCGTAACATTGAAAATGTCATCAAATATGTACCAGTGTTAAAAATTCCTATTGCTATTGAGTTTCCTCGTCTTTGAAATTAATGTTAAAATCAAAACCGTCAAATCAGTCAGTTTTTATCTATTTTTAACTTTTATCTGGCAGATTAACAAGAAGCATTTTCTCCTGAAGTATTTCTGTGAATGTCTGTTCAAGCTCTGAATGTCTTCTTTATTCATCTTCAGGAATGGCCACTTAAAAACCTATTTTTATTCTAGTCCACCTTTATACAACATTCTTAAGTGAATGCAGTGGAAAGTTGAAATTAATCTGTAGGCGAAGTGAAAGGTGCTTTGAGCTGCTTCCAACTCTGTGGTAAAAACTGCAAATGGTAGAATTGGCCAATAAGCCGAAACTTTTACAGGATGAAATTGTCCTTTTGGCCATTGAAAAATTACCAATGGAACATTTTTTTCTCAATTAGCCTGGTGATTTCAATGAGGTTTTTTCAAGTTTTGGTTTAGTGATTTCTGCATTACTTAAATGTTTTTGGCTAGACTTGACGGCTTATTGGTCTGTTCCCCAAAATTCGTTTAATTATTTGCAACACTTGTTATCACTCGAAACCTATTTTGGTTTTTAAAAACCATATTGCGAATCCCACCCAAACCCAATCGAATTTTCTCTATGAAACATTTGTGTCACTTTAAACTCCTATTTTGGGAAGTCTTTTAATGAACACAACCTGAAAAAATTCCGCTGAGTGGTTATGAATATGGAAAAATTGAAACTGTTAACCGAAGAATAAAGCAGTGTTTGTTTCCTGGTTTTTGATACCATTTTCGTGTTATATTACTACAAATGGACCATTTGATGGGTGTTTCATCAGGGCCATTTCAACTGTGAACAGGAAGAAAATTAGTTTCCCTGTTCAATTTTCTTATGTTATTTGATTTACTATACTGTTGAAAACCTGTATGAGATCATTAAATCTACCGTGAAGTTGACGTGGTTTATCTTTATTCACAAGTGATGAGTTAAGCAGAACGGTTTAAAAGTCTTCAATCAATATTGTTTCCATTAAATTATAATTGAATCCGGGTATTTGAAAAAAGTTAGTAGAAAAAGGAACATGGAAAGAAAAACTGAATTTGCTTCGGCTTTTTATGGAACTTTTTAGTTTAAATTCAGTATTTTTCCAGTTCTTTTGGTATATTGAATCAAATTAAATGATGAAAAAAAAAGATTAAAAAATTATGAAAAGTCGAAATAAAATCTGTCGATCTTTTTTGAACCGTTCTGCTGTAAAACCAGTCGGCTAATTGGCGTCTTTTTTCTGTGCAGCGCCTCATAATTCTGTTCAAACCTGCACCAAATTATTACAAAAACGCTCTCAATTATTCACAAGATGCCACATTTTGGCAGAAAAAAATCCTACGATTTGGTTAATTTTACAAACAGTTTTGATATTCAAGGGTCCGATACAGCAAACGACTCACCGAGACTTGTGCAAAAGGGGTACTACACCCAAATTGACGATCCAATTCACGAATCGAGCGATAGTCGAACCCTAAGTGCGATACCTTCACATTTAATACCGTCAACTTCATCTGCTGGTAATCAGAGTTACCCTGGAAATAATCAGAATAACCTTGGATTACCGGAAGAGTATGCGACAATATCGAGGAAATTTAGAACGAAAAAGCAGGAAAAAGACAGATCGTCGTCTGGAAGTACAAAAGAGAAAGAGCATTCGTCTTCGGCGAAGAATAGATTTATGAGTAAATTTGGAGGCGGCGGAGGTGCGAATAGCAGAGATAACTCGAAAGAGTGTTTGCTAGATGGAAATGGCAGAGGACGAGGCATGCAGATGGAACAGTTTGGAAATTTGAAAAACTCGGAGGCTCCGAGGAAGTCGATGCCTAATGTAGCATGTAAGTAAACTTGTCTTGTTTTTCTCAAATACAAACATTTATTCTTATGTAATTCAAAAATCTTGACATTAATTGCTCAAAATGTTCACAAATTTTGACAATTAATTGCTAAATAGAATCAGTGCACATTGAAAACCAGAGTGATTTTGCTTGCGTTTCTCTATGAGTTTCCACTACCTCATAACCAAATCCGTATTGTTTTTGTTGCCTTTAAGTATCAAAAAGTTGAAAGTCAAAGAAAATTTTATCATTTTGTTAAACGTAACATGCAATTTAATAGTTTTTTTTTCGTAACCGAAAACGAATATTTGACAGTCATACTTTACTAATTTAACTATGGTGAGAGGAACTGAGATTTTTAAAAGCGTTCAATGAACCGAAAGTTGAGTCAATAAACAGAATGAAGTATACAGTTTCGCAATATAGTCAGTTGTTTCCTGGTTTACGGATACTTCGATTTACTGAGCGCTTATTGTCGATGTTAGTTTTAATTCATACCTAAATTAATGTTTTTTTCTATCCCCTTACTATCAGCAAGCACGCAATCGGTGCTTAATCATCAAGTTCCCCCAACTACAATACTGAATGGCGTCGCCGTCTCGACCTCGGCTTTAATCGAGCCAGTAGTTGTGAGACGCCGCCATTTTGCGGTGCCTCCCGTAAACAAGCACGCGCCTAATAGGCCAACGACCTCGAAACAATCAGGTGACAAGAAAGGTCACAGAGTAAGTTGGCACGACGGCTTACCGCAACCGTCAATATCACATAGTTCGAGTTACCACAGTGGGTTGATGAATAGAAAAACATTCTACGAGAGCGGATTTCCAACGTCGCCACTAGCCGGTGATGAGCATTTGGACTGAAATATGAGCAGAATTTAATTTTAATTTTTGCTATACTATGGTTTAATTTTGACCAGACAATGTTGTAATCGCTAGTTTTTTTCGTACTAACAGCTAGCTGAATAAGATGGCTTTTTTTCCCTTTCCTACATGCATCAAAGTATGGCTTTTTCATTTCTTATGCTACTTCTGAAACCTTTTGCTTCATCATTTTGCTTCGTCTTAATTGCTTTCGTTTAAAAAATGTTGCCTTGTTATTCTTGTTGTTTCGACCAAAGCGGTTCATTCAGAAGCACATTCAACTTCCTCTTCTTCATATTTCTGGCCTATGTGTTTTACCTGTACCCTTTTGTTTTAGAAATTTGTCAGATTTTTTTTAACAGCCGCTTGGGTATGCTGCTGGCTTGTTTTTAAGATTAATGAACACAGTGAAGACTCCTATATACGTCTTGGTAATTTTTTTTCAGGAAAAATTTTGTTCACGCACATATTTGATTTTTTCGGTTTGAATTTTCATTTTTTTTTCTAGCTCAGTCCAGTTCAAGGCAAACTCCACTATCGAACAGAAAAAGTGTACAGGTCGCGAAAAACGAACAGTCGACTTCGAATTTTGAAAGTGGTACAGTCGACTTCGAGTTTCGATTGTGGAATGAATTTATCAGATTTACCAGCGAAACAAAAAATTTTACCTATTGATTCAGTTTTCTCAAATTGGTTTTTTTTTTAATCAAAGAACTCAATCATAAATTTTTCTAGAAATTCAAAGAGCTTTAATGCAATCTATTGTTCTCTTGGAAATTTGAAAGATTTTTCAAAAGAAACCAAGTCAGAATTTGTTTTCTGTTTACTTGCGTTCATTGACTCTTTTTAACTGCCTGAAAGCTATGTTTGTTGTAGCGTTTCAATGACCATGCTAAATGAAAGATCATGAAATGAGAGAATTTATGACGTTTTAGTAACGAAAAAAAAAACATTTTACTGAAACTTTTGAGAGCCACTTATAATGTAATTTCTGCTTGCGATGATTTTCCCGATCAGCACTAATTTTTCCAGCAGAGTATCGTTGTAGTTTCAATGCAATTTTCTGTTAATCTTTTTTTCATTTCCATTGTTAAAACGAAGGCAAACTCCACTATCGAACAGCAAAAACAAAATGGTCTCAACGAAAAATGTGATGAACTTCTTTTTTCGAGAGTGGATTTTATTTTTCAAATTTTGCAGCGAAATCAAAAATTTACCTATTGATCCAATTTTTTGAATTTGGGATAATTTTTGTTTAAGTTGCGGACCTCGGCAATTTTCTTTGTAGATGCTAGTGTTTTTGGTGTATTCTTTCAATTTATAAAATAAAGAGCCTTGGCATTTTATATTTTTGTTTTTTTTTTGTTTCGCCTAAAAGCTTCATTTGGACTGAATGTTTTCGGCGTAGTCACTTTAATAGGTGTCGCTTCAAAGACAAAAGTTTGTTGATAAAAAATTGTGTAGTTTCAAAAGCAAAGAACTTTCTATAGAAAAGCCAGCATGGTTTCGGTTGAATTTGTTTTTCTCTTGACTTACCCTGCCAAATCCGAGATTAGGTTTTCTTCATCGAGAGAATAAATGTTCCTGCATAAGCTGCGACTCCCAAATTTTGGCAGGGAAATCAGTAAAAATCAAGAACAAATCCATCTCTTGACCGTTGTGTGAGAATTTTTTTCATTATTCTCGAAAATTTCTTGCCACATCTGAGATTAAAAGCTAAATCGAAAGAACAGATATTGGGCATCTACCCGTCATTCGGCGCATTTCTTTGCTTTATAGAAAAAGCGTTATAAAACAGTAAATTCAAGTTTCATACTTTTGAATGTTTTCTGGAGGAAAATTTTCCCCAAAATTACCCAGCTAAATCTAAGATTAAGAATTCAATTACGAGAACGAGTTTTAGGAATCTTCCGTAATATGCGACGAATACCCTTTTTTCCTGTTGATTATTAACCATTCACCTTCCGCATCAGTAACACATATTCTGAGGTGATTTCAATTATTTCTCTCCAGTTTCAGCTGGGCCACTAGTGTTTGACTATCTACATGAGCACAGTTGGGAGCACGCAAGCCTCTCAATCTCTAGGTCCTAGGTTCGAATCTGGCGTATCGAAAGTTTTTGTTTTTCAGGGCTTTTGTAGGCTCTTTCTTTCCCTTTCTTTTTTTTGAGTTTTTTTCCCGCTTGCGTACGCGAAGTCCAGCTTCGTCCAGCTTTTTTGGGTTTTCAGGAAAAGCCTCAAATTTGATTTTTCGCGGTTTGGCATTGATTTTTTTTAAACTCAAGTACATTCCTTATGCTAAAAAAGGCAAAATCTACTATCCAACAGCAAAATATAAAGGTCGTGAAAAACGTGATCGACTGCTAATTTCTAAAGTGGATTTTTTGTTTCAAATTTTACAGCGGTATAAAATCTTTAAGATTTTGATCCAATTTTTTCAAAATTAATTTTTTATTTGTCAGAAAAGTGTCAATCACAATTTGTTCTGGAAATTCAAAGAGCTGTAATGCCTTATTTTTTGCCTTGTTTCTAATGTAATTTTTTTCTAAAAACAAATCAATTTTTTTTGGTTTTCTGCGTTCATTGGCTCTTTTCCATTAGTCTGTTAGTTATACTATGCTATTTAGGACTTCATAGACCGCTTTGAAAGATTAGTTTATCGCAGAAGCGAGCTTGACAGCTTACTTTTTTTTTTACCACCACTCCGTTTTTTCCAGAAATCCCAATTTTAGCGCAAAGTTTGAATTTTTTTACTTGAAAATCTTATGCAAATTTTATCGATGTATAGTTCTCAAGGTACAATTTTAATAATGTTGTACTTTGTAAATATCAGAGCTCATGTGTATAGAGGTTTTCTGAACTAACGAACATTTTTTTTGTTACTGAAAGTACTTTTGCGCACTTCTAAGGTTGGTGATTTTTTTTCGATGAGACTCGAAAACTGAAAAAAAAATCATTAGCTTATAAACACTTTTCCAGCTCTGTTGGCTGTTTTTTTTTGCTTAAATGCTCATCACTGGCGTTCTAAGAAACGACAATAACCCACTCAGTGTCAACTATGTGTCCTCCGTCTAATAGTGACGGAAGGTTTCCTGGGTTCATTGACCGAGAGTTTGTGACTACAATTACTCCCCAGCATTACCAAGTGTCGCCGCAATGTGAGATGAGCGAGGCCTCGTTTACTTGTTCATTGGGTGGGTTGGTTGGCGGAGGTTTCCCCGCAAAAAAATATTTGTTACTGAATTTTGTAGGGAATTCGAGTGAAAATTTGGACAGGAAGTTAAACCAAAAAATGAGAAATTGAGACGACCTTTATTTCAATCAACGAAGTTAACAAAGTGATTCCAAATAATTTAGTTGAAATACACTTTTTGGTTTAATTCTTTTTTAAGCGAAGCGGATTATGCGTTCGTTACTCGCAACTGTCCTTTTTTCTTATAATTTTTTCCGATTATTTCCAGATTTGTAAATATGGCCTAAATTTCTTGTATGCTGTCGTCTCAATTTCCTAGCTCCAATTAAAAAAAAATCCTCACTATGATATTCTGAAACATAACTTCCCATCAGAATGCAAGCGCATTGGATGCAGTTTGTAAAATTGGAGTCAGATAACCAAAAGAGAATTCATTTTTTGTTTCCTTGTATCGGCCTGATCTGGTTTCAGTTTTGCTTGCAATGCATCTTAAATGGCCGTTTTTTGAATGAAAATCAATTAATCAATTCAATGTCCATTTTCATACCCAGGTACTTTAACAAAACCTTTCAAGAGCTTTGCTAACTATGAAAAAGATGGAAAAAAAGAGTTCCGAACCAAGATTGTGTCAATATGTTTTGTTTTGACTGAAATAATGTTTCGAAAATGATTTCCACATGAAAATACTTGTATGAGTAGTTGTTCTGTAGATGTTTCTCCAATGGAAAAATTTTAGCTGGTTAATGAGTCTTTAGCACCATAGCATGGCAGAAAACGTCTTTTTTTGCTTCCTCGCAAAGCGGGACTGCTCAATATGCTTATACAGCTTAATTCTCCTCAAAAAAGTTTATTTCATTAAATTGGAAGATTCAATTGCTAACTTGTCTATATTAGACTACATAAGAAACAAGCTTGGTTGTTACTTAACGAAGAAATCTCTAAGTCGTCAATGGCAACTTCACTCGTATGAAAATTGATTCAAAAGTTGTCAGCTGATTCAATGGGTTAGAGCTCGCAATCGATGGAATTTTTTTAGAAAACTCTTTTTCTGTAAACATAGCAATCGTTAACATGTTAAATTGCATTCAATCCATGTAAAATGTCCACAATCTTCATAAGTCATTATCGAGCACTGTTCCTATTCACTCCGTGTTCACGCAATGAATTCAGTGCACGTTCAAGGTCATTCAGTGTACTAAATGTGTCCAACTGAAATTGATTTAAGCTCAAGGACGTAGAAATAAAATTAGTAGAATTTACGCAGAATTTATCGGTATATTACTCAAACGCCTTTTCTTACACAGATTTGATCAATATTTAAGATCTTCTTAATAAAGTAATTTTTAACTTAATTCCAAAATTTTGCAAAAAAAAACAAAAACAAAAATAGCTTGCTTCATAATCAGGTTTATACAGTTTTTTTTTGCTATGTGCTTGTCAACAGAAAGATATAGTTTTTATTGGAACAATTGCAGAAAAAAAATCAGATGTGAGGTCTTTCAGATACTTCAGACCGAAACTGAAAATGCATTTTGTAGGTCATAGAAGTTCAATTTCGAATTTCTTTCGGAGTAATAGTTTTATATCGGCAATTTATTTCGCAAACATAATATGAAGAGCGTAAATACAGGAATACGTAAAACAAATTTACGAAGTAGAAAAGACTCAACCTAAGTGTTCTCCAAACCTATTTTGGGCTTTGTCTATTTGAAACAGGCTGTACGAAAACTTAGTCAATATGGTTTCGAACTTTAGAAAGAAATTCGAAGTATTTGTTGCTCTCCAAGATACGAAATGGCTGTTGGAAGTTTGCTAGCTTTTAGATAATAAGTTTAGTTGATGTCTAGAATGATGACTGAAACGCATGTGCAGCGCAAAGCTGACGTATAAGGTATTTAGTTAATTATATAACTAGAATTATATCATAGAATTGAGTAAAACTTTGTTTTTGCGTTGTTTTAGATTTAAGAGTGAGCGAACCAAACAGTGGTCATGATAATGCAAATCAGCCTCAGTACTCGAGTAATGACAACAACAATAAGAAGTACAGCCTAGGTTCGAATCCCACCTCTGGCCGAGGAGGGGGAACTCACAATGGAAACTCACATGGAACGTCAGCTCCGTATGGGGGTTATATGACGCCTGGCGATGCTAGTTCTGTTGCCGAGTCATCAAGTTCAGGTATAAATGTCTTGTTTAATTATAAGTTTCGAGGTAGATATTTTTTCAACAACACCACCTATGATAGCTAGTAAGGGATATCCACACCAATTATTCAACTCATGACAATGTTGAAAGTGTACGCATTTGAATTTTGTAATGGGTTCCCAATGTGAAGTAAGGAGGGATGGTATACGCGTTCTCCGTTGGCGTTATGAAACATTGATTTTCGGTGAAATGAACAGGCTTCAGTGAAAACATAAATGGATCACAAAAGCTTTGAAATTCTCAATTGAAGTCATGATGAATCAAAAGTTCTGGGGCTGCCAATAAATGCGCACACATTATGATTGAGTGTTGATTGTTTGAAAAGATGTAATAAATAATGGTTTCTAGCGAGAAGAAATCGCAACAGAATCGACAAGATTCTTCGACCACAGTCTTGCATTGGTAAACGAAATCACGTTTTTTTAAACTAACTGTAAACATAAATGTGAAAGCGCTCACTAAATACTTTCTGTAGAGTTTTATTTCTCTTTCTGTTTTATTCAAATTAATGATATCATTAGTGTTTCGCTCTCTTAAATTAAAATTTTATTATCTTGTTGATTTTTCTAACTCGAAGTGGGGAACATTTTATCATAAAGTTGTTTAGGGAGCTTTAATCACTAGCTTTTTAGGCGTACGATTCTATTTCAACCTTTTAAGTGACATAAACGAAGACAATTTAAATTTAGTTCGCACTCAAAGTTTGACTTGTGAGTTCACTTCAAATTAAATAATGTGCAAGTAGCGCTAAAAAATTGCGAGTATTTTCTAGTTTCAAAAGTGGATGTTATTTAGATTTCCCAGCAGAATAAAAAATTTGCCTAATGATCCAGTTTTCTCAAATTTAGTTATTTTATCAAAAAGAGTAATTGATAAAACATTCAAAAATTCACTCATTTTTTGGTTTTCTTGTTCCCTAATCTTTTTCAATTTCTTTGTTTTTGATTTTGTTCTATGATTTAACAGACGCTTTTTTCATTGTATTTCTTTTAACCTGACAGGTAAAAAGTCGTCCAAAATGAAACGAACTCGAAATTCCTTGCGAGGAAAATTCGAAAATCAAATTTCGAGTACTGGTGGTAAAACCATTAAACCGCGCCCTGTTACAACTATGGATTTTCCGGAAGACCTCGATCTTAATTCAGAGGACTTCCGGAACCAAATGCTTGGTATCCCAAGTCCAGTTCCAGAAGATGATCACGGATCCAGAACTCCGGCAAAAGGAACCTTGAAACAATCACGAAGTCATCCGAACCTACGAGATATGATAAATAGGATCTCGACTAGTATTAATCCAGGGTCGAGCTCGAATTTGTCAACTAGCTTCAGATCAAAAAACAAGAAAAGTACGAAATGTGATCACGTAAACGGAGCACGTGAATGAAAATAGTCGTGGATTTGTTCGCTAGTTTAATTGTGACCACGATGCGAATGATTTTAAACCTAAATGTGATCAGTTTATCACTAGCTAAATTGCCACAACGTCATTTTTTGTAATCACTCGAATGAATCGGAATGCATTGTACATTAACGCTTGGTTTTTAGCAGTATAAAGGACTTGAAATTAGTGCTAACTGTGTTACATATTTTTACCCTTGCGATAAGCAAGGGTATTGCAATCTAGTACAAGACTTTTTTCCCATAAATAAACTTATTCACAGAATGTTCAAAATTAGAAATGGTAAATTTAGGGGGCGCTGCTTATGTTTTGTGATTTTTAGTAAAATTTTGCTTTGTAATTTTTTCCGATGCTAAGTTCACATTATATTGTCTTGGCGTTTTATCAAAACTAGCCTTATTCGAATTGATAGATCTAGTTTTTCGACATTTTCGATTGTTTTCCAACTTAGCGGCTTTCTTGTTTTGTATCGCAAGTGGTGCGAAGCTCAACTTTGCCTCTGTGTATATTTTGTTTCGTTATTTTTCAGCTATCTTGGCTTTAGATGTCTAGCTTTGCGATAAAAGTATGTCTAAGCGGCTGTGGGAAGTTTTTAACTATGTTAATTTGTTTGAGTTTTTGTAGAGATGTGATTTCAACTAATAAGTTGATTTTAACAATTAGAATAGAATGCATTCACTAATGAGCTTGTTCTCACAAATATGCAATTTTTATAAAAAGTTTTGAAAAAATTTATGGGTGTTTTTTGAAATATTTGGTAAATTTCAGGAGAGAAAATCGCGTCAAGTGATATACACAGAACAAACAGTTTGGAGCGAACAAAATCCCCTTGTCTTTCAATCACAATTCCCCCAAACAACAACCTATATGACCCCTACAACGATACATCCCAAGTGAAGCCACGAAAACGTACTCCTGGCTCGGCTCATTCAGGCGAGAGACCGAAGTCGGCTGTTACTCCTATCGGCTTCGCGGCCATGGGACTGAATGGACGCGATGAAACAGATGTGGATGATAAAATCTCGTTGGAGCAGTTTTTAAAAGAAAGCAATCGCAGTCCAAAAAGCAGGGTGAGTTTGTTGAAGTTTAAAAAACCAAAACATTTTCAGGCTTATAACATTAATGATTTGGCACGTAAATAGCATTTACAATAACTCTATGTAATTTTCAGACGTCTATGTAAATTTATAAAATGTTGGAAAATTGTATTTTGTAATAATGGATTAAACATATCAAATCTGGTCCCTCAAAGAAATATTTTTCCTGGAAATCTGTTGAGGGTTCGATGTTTTGTTCCCACGTTTTGAATTATCTTTCAATCGACAAAGGTCGACTTAGTGATTCAAATAATGTCTTCCAGGCCATTAGTTGCTTGTGGATCCTACTTACGTATCTTTTTCCCCTGTCATCTTAATGATGCGTATGACAGTTCCATTTTTCAGTTCTGTGGTATACAACTTGCTTTTGAAGAAACGAATAATCAGATTTGAATAAGCAAATGATTTATTTATTTGTCTTTCTTCTAATCATCTACTCTCAGCCAGTTTAAAGCTTCCAAGTACTAACTAAGTCATTACTAATACAGCGACCCCTTGACAACGAGCGGGTCGAACTAGGTGGACGTATAGTTCCCCCTCACCTGCTAATCGACCAACTTTTTGACCCTACATCGCCTGTGGGGTCAGTGACCTCAATGACCTCACCAACAGAAGTAGAGGGGGGTTCGAGTCCGTGTGATGACCCGGACCCCTTCGCTCCTACCCCACCCCCTAGAACCCACTCTACTAGAGCAGGGTTGGTCCCGGTTGACCATTTGCACATGAATATCAAGGTGAGCCGGATTACGAGTAAGATGGAGGTTCAAGTATGAAAAATGGGCCCCTAAAGTAGTTTACGGCACCCAAGTATCATAATTACATCGTGTTCAGTGGTATCATTAGATCTGATTTGAAATCTATCTGAAAGCTATCGATCATATCGCGTTAATGAGGGAAAACTTTTTCTTCTATTCTAAAAGATCCATACAAGTGTTTAGTTTTTTAGTCAATTGTTTTTACCAGATTTTGTAACTTGTTTTAAAAGATCGTTTTATCTTCAAACTTTCGGACTGGCTATTTTTTTAGTGGTCAGGAGCGAATATGGCCTAAGGCTAAAACTTATTCTCTATTCTCTTGCTAAAACAAGAAAAAAAACGAAAAATGAAAAAAAACTGGTTTTTATAGGTTTCTTGCAAAGTTGGTCCGAAAACTCCGCGCTACTTGTCTCCCTAAACCGGCTATTGTTTCCTTCTTAAGGCCTTATCGTGCATGAGTAGGGTCAATAGTATTTTGCAGCTGTTTTAAACTAGCATTCTACCCAATATTTTGGAACTTCTCATTTTTCGATGCTCTTTTGTTTTATGCCTTCATCTAATTCACGCGAACCAAGATCATTTTTCTCTTCTCTATCTACATATAAAGATTCCTCATTTTTTCCATTTTATTTTCGAAATTCTATTAGATTCTATCATAGAACTCAATTAAATTTTATATCTTCTTTGCGTCATGTTGTTTCTCTCCTCTATTTGGTCATTTTAACTCAGCTCGAGATCTTTTTCCTTTCACCGCCACTTCCATGCTCGTGTCATCTTTCATGGAAACTCAACAACATGAATAGAAGCTATCGTGCGTATTAAAAGGTGGGAAAAAGGAAAAAGTCACAATTTTTAGCATTATATTTCAGTCAGAAATAGTAAAAATAAACATTGTGTAAATTCAGTTTGATTTCAGAGGAAATACCAAGAAGCAGTTTTGAACAATGACAAAGACGCTCTCCGTGAACACCTCTCGTGTGATGAGATAGAGGACGAACCACCCGACTCCTCCCAGAAATCACCTGCTCTAATTCCCCGACAACACTTAATCCGACAGGTGATGATTGTATTGAATGTTAAAAAATCATTAGCTTTTTAAGAGTAGATGGTCGTAGTTCAGACTTTTATATATGTCGCGTTGATTTTTTCCGTTTTGTTTTTCGCAGAAAAAGTCTTAGTTTTGTTCAGGCTCAAATTCACTTTTTCGAGGTTTGACTTTGTTTTTTTTTAGTTCAGTTCATGTCTTCTATGAAAAAGATGGCAATTTCCACTATTGAACAGCAATGGTCACGAAAAACGTGGTGGACTTTTAGTTTCGAAAATGGAATTTATTTTTAAGATTTCTTTTGTAAACTTTTTTTTCTTTTTTTTTATTCAGTTGTCTCAAATTGAGTTGATGTTATCTAAAAAGAGACAATCATAAATTGTTTTAGAAAGTCAGAGAGATTTAATGGCATCTATTTTTTTTTCAATTCAATGTTTTTTTTCCAACTTTTTTTAAAACAAGTCAAGGTTTTTTTCTTTACTTGCGTTCATTGACTCTTTTCCAATGGTCTGTTGGCTGTTTGAAAATTTTAATGAATATTTGGTGATATATTACAATAGGTGGCAATAGTCTGTCTTTACTAAAGAAAAAGTGCTCTCAGCGTGATTTGAACCCATACCTGTGGGCATTGAGTCAAATGTGTTAGCCACTGCACCAATTCGTCTGAACGGAAAGTTAGATGGCAGAATTCATTACCTGAGCAGATTTGCATTACCTATTAGGCACAATTATATGAACTGAAAGCAGAAGATAAGATACAACGTTTCGACCGGAGAAACACAGTTTTGATATGAGTTTTAATTCGTTTAATGAGGTTGTCAAAAACAATCTTAGCGCTCCCAAAACGTTATCTCCAAATAAATTCGTCAAGATGAGCAGGAAGCCAGTGATCAATAACACCGTTCATAGCTTTAAATTTTTTTTGGCTTGTCCCACATTGCTTCGATATTATTTATATGAACGCCTGTGATCGGATCCTTAAAATTTTTGCAGATTCGTAAAGAAACTAATGGTATCAGTCTGCATAAGGAATGTAAGAAGATCAACCATCTGACCAAGTTTTTGCTCCAGATTACCTCTAACTGAGTTTCAGCCCTCTGTCTTCATTAAATTCCAAAAAACCGAAAGCTTTCTGTTTGATCATTCGACTGCGGTTGTGTTTTTGCTTGGCTACGACAGATGCGTCTATTTGAATTGTTTTTGAGTTTCTGAGTTTTGACGGGCCCTTGAACAAGTTTTTCTAAATAAAGCATGAAAATTTACTGCCGTTTTTGAACTAACTTCAAGTAGAGTGGCAACTTGGCAAAGAAAAAAAGCTAAGTTACAATAATTCGAATCGATAATTTCGAATTTTCAAAAATTGAATTTTTTTCGCAGATAAAAGTTTACGACAACGACTGTTAACGCATCGCCAAGCAGATTTATCTATAACTGGCTTGCTCTCACAACGCATTATGGACCCACAAATTGGACGGGGACAATGGCGTGGCCTTTTCAGTAATTTTATGCGAAAAGTAAAAACTACTGCCCTCATCATTTTTAATTTGATTCACGAAGTCGAAAAATATCATGGCTAACAACTGCTATTGAATTACTTATTCTCGGTTGTGAGCTTAAGACTTAAGTTTTTACTGCTCAATTCTGAGACCGGTTGCTTTAGTGGTAAAAGCATTAGATTGAAGGCCCATTTTTTGAAATTACGTTGACTGATCATTTTTTAAAGTTTCAGCGTCCGAGAGCATCACAACAAAGTGACAATCAGCATGGATCTAGTCGTAGTGTGAACAAACAACATAGATTGTCGCAGCCGAGCCCCGATTCCACTTTCAGATCCGATGTCGAAGGTGGCGCAGGAACTTCTTTGTCAGGTTAGTTGTTGTTATATTTGAGGATTGGCATTAAAAGAAAGTTGAATAGTTTTCGTCTCGACTGATTTTACGGAATCGACATTCACGGAAAATCGACAGTGGCTTTTGCTGTCGCTTCAAGGAATCATTTTCAGTTTTCTTTTGTTGCATGTTATTGCAGTATCGTTGAAAAGGAGATAGATTTGGGCTAGATGCCATTTTTTTCAGTTCTAAGATTGAAGTATTTAACTGGTTTGTTTTAGCTGGTTTTGAACAAACTTTGATTATTTTTTTCCGATAGGTTCCATTGGCCACTCACCTCAGTTCCAAAAAGTAATGATGACCTCTCCTGGCTCAGCGGGGGGATCAGGTCATGGAAGAGGTCAATCTCCCCAGCAGAGAAGCAACCCCTCCAGTGTGCCCATGGCACGCAGTTACCATGGCAACCTGTCTGGGTCTTCGATAGGTAGTGATGTGCTAGATAGAGATGGTGCATCCAGTCAAGGTCAGTAGTTTCAATTTTGTTGAATATCTGAGTCGAATATTTCAATTAAGTTTTTATCCAATTTTATGAAATGCAGAAATTTACTCTGAAGCTTTTTTTCTGGCGAATTGAACGCTGTCTTTTGTCTTGCAGTTAATGCATAAGGTTTCAAGGCATTAATCAGCAATGTAGACAAATGTTTTGCATGTTCTTAGTGTTATAGAAAGAAAAGGAAAATTTTTTGTACTTTGTCTAAAAATTTTCATTTACTTTTCTAAAAATTTTCCTTTACCAAATGAACTATCTCGCGACCTATTTTAATTTTTTGTATCTGATTTTGCGAGGTAAGAAATAAAAATTATAATTTACTTTTTATTTTTATCGACCAAATGAACTATCTCGCGACCTATTTTAATTTTTTGTATCTGATTTTGCGAGGTAAGAAATAAAAATTATAATTTACTCGAGAATGGAAGGCAAAGTTACTCCTATTTCCAGTGTTCGGAACATAGGAAAATTTATTAATTTTTTTCCGATATAATTAGAGTGAGGGAAGTTACTTAGTGTAGATCTCTTGCAATAAATTTTTCAGTCATGCTCATGTGAAATTTTCATAATTAACTTTGAATAACCAGAAATCCCTGGAATTCATTTTTTCAAGTTGTATATTTTATGTTAGCTGCATCAGCGAGATTCTGATGATTTCGTCTCATGGTTAAGGTGAAGTGAACATTGTGAACTTGTGTACGTGACTTTAATCTCAAACTGCTTCTTATTTCAAAAAATGAAATCATACTTTGTAAGACTTTGAAGTTTTCGGATGATGACTTTTCTGTTCCAATGCAGTCAATCAATTATTTCTAAACAATCACTTCCGAATTGATGAATCAAAATTCCTACCATAACAAAATTCGAATATTCATAACAACTTTTAAAAAAAATTTATTGCTGCTTTAGTCGCTGTCATGTGTTGAGCTCGCGGATTAATTCCCTTACGATACAACCCCCTATCCTCCCCCTCCCTTGTAAAACTCCACGGGATAGAACCCCCAGGACTAAACCATCCTGGGACAAATTACCCCAGAATTTAAATCATAGACTCCATATTTTGGACTTCCTTGTTTATTTCTAATGAGCCAGATGATCATTTTATTTTGCAGAAACAATTTATTTAGCGATAAGTTTTCATCCAAGTAAGTTAGGCTTTAAAGTGTTAGATAATATTCATTGTTTAAGTGCATTGTTATCACGTTTTAGGCGACCCATCGCCTCTGAAATATCCTCCATCCTACTCCCAGTCGAGCTCTTCGTGGGGCAAGGCTGGATCCCGCTCTGGAATAATTGGATCTTCATCTCAACCGAATCCAAAACGAAACTCCCTCGAAAGTCAAATCAGCGCACCATCCATTGGCAATCAACCGCCTGTTACTTACCCCAGAAGCTCAAGTAAACATGTATCTTCAAGCACAGCTAATAATTCATCTTTAGGCCAAATGAGCTGTAGAAATAATGTACCTTCACCATCAATTTCAAACTCTAATATTGCTTCTGCAGCAAATATGAATAGAGGATCGAATCTCGCACCCGCCAATAGACCTTTGCCACCAGTTCCAAGTTCTCCTGAAAGTGAATTGCCCCAAATGGAAAATAAATCGAATACTTCTCCGCCGACAAAAGAAAACGCAGAAAGTTCGACATCGACCAGTGAACAAAATAAGAAAAATGCATCATCTGTGTGGTACGAATATGGGTGCGTGTAATTCATTCAATTGTACAGTATTTATTGTCTCGAAGGAAACTATAATTTAATTTATTGCATCAGTAACACTAAACAAATGTTGTTGATAGTTTTCATACGTTAACTCTCATCCGCTTTTCGTTTCGATAAATTTTGGCTGCTTAAGTTAGTCGGTTAAATTTGTCAGAAAATGTTTTTGATAACTTATTCGTGCTATTTTGGTTGAAAGGTTTCCGCTTAATTTTCCTTCAAATTGTGTTATCAATTTTTCTACGTGTGTTTTAAATGTTTTTTTTTGGTCGTTGTAAAAAAAAATGTTGCTTTTCAGGTTCTAAGACGTTACTAAATTTGAGATTTTCTCGAATTTCATGGCAAAATTAGGTATGTTGAAAAGTCATCTTAGAATTCAGATACTAAAATCATCAGAATTCCTTAAGTTGTCAATCAATCCGCACTAAAAATCATATCACCTCTAGATTCACAATTTAAAGGTATTTGACAATTTGAAAATTGTTTAAGAGTCGATGAGCGTAGTTCAGACCTTTATATAGGTCGTGACGATTTTTTTTCAGGAAAAGATCTAAAATTTGTTCCGGCTCAAATTTACTGTTTTGCGGTTTGCCTTTTGATTTCTTTTCAAAATAAGTTCATTTCCTTTGTTAAAGGCAAACTCGACTATCGAACAGTAAAGGTTGCGAAAAACGTGATCGACTTATAATTTCGAATAATGGAATTTAACTATGAGATTGACCAGCGAAACAATTTTTTAACCTATTATTCAGTTTTCTCAAATTGGTTCATTTTTATCAAAAAAGTCAATCTTAAATTGTTTCAGAAATTCAAAGAGCTGAAAGGCCATCTATTTTTTTCTTGGAAATTCGATTTTTCTAAAAACAAGGCAGCTTTTTTCTGCTAACTTGCGTTTATTGACTCTTTCTCAACTGTCTGTTGGCAATGTTTGTTTTAGCGTTTCAATGACCATGCTTAATGAAAGGCCATGAATTGAGAGAAATTATGACGTTTCAGTAACGAAAAAACATTTTCCTGAAACATTTTTGAGACACTTATATTGTAATTTCTGCTTGCAACGATATTTCCGATCAGCACTTTACTTTTTCCAGCAGAATATCGTTGTAGTTTCAATGCAGTATTGTAAGTTGTAAACTTGCCAATTAATTAGATCAAATCAACGACCTGCTTAAATTCAATGAGAAGCTTAGGTTCCGGTTGTGGTAAGCGACGATGTTATTTATAGATTGAAAAAAAATTTGGTTCATAATAAGTGAGCATAACGAGTTTTCTTCTGGATTTAGAATTTTAGATTTTAACTTATTTTTTGAAAATTTTATTTCGCATCTGAAATTTAATTCAGTGACTCATGGAATCTTTCTAATGAGCCAAATTTTTTTTACCACGAACCTTAACGTTATTTATGAAGTGATGCTGTTTTAAATTGAATTGTTGCTGCTTACAAGAACGCTATTTTGTGATAGTTGCCATTTAATTTATATTGCCTTTAGTGGGATGAGGTTTTCATTTTTGTTGCTAATTTTTGTTTATTATTGTGCCCTAGGTTAATACTCAACTGATGATAAACAGAAACATAACTCCTCGTAAGAAGTCTTATAACTTAGTTATAAATAATAACTCATTGTCACCCACTGGGGAATAGTTGCAGTTGTTCCTCCCTTCTAGTTGTGCATTTATTGTTCTTTCTTCCTACCATATGTCGTTTCCTCTCTTTGATGTCGATTTGAGTCGGTTTGTTACTTCTAAAGTTTAGTCAGAGTTTAAGCAGAATTTAATTTTCTAACCTAATTTCGTTTTTACTGATAGCTAAGTGTTCCTAAAATCAGTAAAACAGTCCTGCTCTCACAGAATAAAGCAGGTTTGCAGCAATTGGTTGAGCAACGCTGAATTTTAGCATAAACGTCAGTTAGATACTTTCATCGAAAGAAATCAAATAAGCGTGTTTAAAATCAAATGGTGTTTACATGAGCACTTTTACATTTGGTGGCACTTTTGGTATATTTCAATTTAATCATATTTAACCATAAAAAATTTAATGACATATGTTGCTGCTTTATAATTGGCAAGTTTTAGGTCGTTATTGAAAAAAAAATGTATGGGGTTTGTTGTTTTTTCATTTTTTTTTGCGACGCTTTGGAAATTTTCTTCACTTTCCGCTGAAATTTCGATTTTTCTCAAAAAGTACTACCGTTTTTCAAAAAAAAAAAACGTGAGACCGATGGAAAAGCTGGCTGCTCTTCTATGTGCCTGCATATTTTGCTAAACTTTTTTCATTTAACTGCACGTTCTACTGCCTTCGAAAGTTTCAGTACATGGTTTTTGGCCTCTTCGTTTTGAATTTTTTTTTTTCAAATATTAAACGCACAAGTTGGAGATGAAGGTTTCAGTAAAAAAAAAACAAATTATGGGGATCTGCTCTTCTAAAGCGGTTTTTCCCTAAAATTGGTCGAAAAAAGTTATGACCTCAAACAAGACCATTGTTTGAGATTTTGGATAATTATTAACATGTTTGTTAAAAACTACCCTGCCGAATTGGAGATAAAGGGCTTAATTGAAGGCACCAGTAATTTGAATTTTACCTGCTTATGCGGTTGTGTCCTGTGTTTTGAAAAAAATATGTGGCCATAGAAAATGTCAATTTTTTGAAATTTCGCCCATTTTTTGGAAAGCTCTTTTTTTTAAACAACGTGCTGATTCTGAGGTTGATAGTTCAATAAAACTACCGTGGGGCTTTGATTTTTCTGCGTAATCTGTTTTAACCAGCTTTTTTTTAAGAAAAGCTGATATGGACTTGGAAAAAAATCCTTTTTAAGTCTTAACCGTTTTTTTAAAAAGAAAATTCGTCTTTGTTCTCAAAAACTAATAGCTTAATCTGATTTTATGGGTTCAATCTAAACACTCAGACTGTGGAAATCTTCAATCTAAAAATCACAATGTGGAAAGCAGAAGCGTTTCCCATGCTTCAGAAGAGGAAATTTCATGGGTATAGGAAAAACCAAACTTTTAAATTTTTTTTCACTTTTTTCGAAAATTACACAGCCAAATCTAAGATAAAGACTTCAATTGAAAGAGCAGGTAGTATTTATCTCCGGTAATTGAGCTGTTAAACCCCTAATTAAGCAGAGAAACGCCAGTGTTTAACGTCAAATTTATTTTTTTGAAGTTATGAAAATTACGCATTTCCTTATCAGTACAACATATGATTACGCTTACGATAAGCAAGCGTTGTCAAACTGGAATATAATTTTTTTCTGCTTCACAACTAGTTTAACAAAATCGGTTGAATCATTTGCTGAGGAGGAGGATGAGGACTTCTTTTCTAGGAAACTGACTTCTTTTCATTCATATTCTCTTCTATTGACATTCCATGTTGCTGCCCCCAAGGTTGAAGGTAAATCAGTTGCCTTTGTACCCTTAGTTCTGGGGTTAAAGTCGTAGCCGGAGCTTGGTTTTTTCAGTATCAATGAAATTGATAAAAAGTCCAAGAGAAATGAATTGCTGGTTTTTCGTTTGTTCGCTCGAGTTTTGTCGGCTAAATTGACACAACGGATTTTGTGCTGTAGACAGTTTTCATTTTAGTTGCAAGTGCAAGTGTTGTTCATTCTAATTTCCGGGGGGACTTGAAAAATTGTATTAAATAATTTCCATAAATTTTTTTTCGTTTCATTTGGTGTCTGCTCTAAGATTGTCGGCTTAGTTGTCACATCACTGTTTTTTTTTGTTGTAAGCAACTTTCAATGTAATGAACTTGAAACTACAATGAAATTTATTTGCAGCACAAGAAAAATCTGTGATGTGGCAAATAAGTCAACAATCTTTGAGCTGAAACCACTTGAACCGAAAAAAATGAATCGTTGAAACTAAAGTGGTTTCAGCGCAAAGATTGTTGACTTATTTGCCACATCACAGATTTTTCTTGTGCTGCAAATAAATTTCATTGTAGTTTCAAGTGCAAGTGTTTTCCATTATTGTTTAAGGTGGGAATTTAATTTTTTCCTATAAAATCTTGTTTTTTTCGGATCAACTTGTATCTGCTCAAAGGTAGTCGGCTTTGTTTCTTTTCGTAAATTTTGTTCCATTGTTGCTGTTTTAAAAATCCAGTGTATGGCATGTTTGCCTGGAATTAATTTCTATCGGATATATGAAAGTTTGTATGATCTTGTTCTCGAAATTTTCAATTTTTTCGGCTTTATGTTTTTATGTTTGTGTTGTATCGAAAGTGGTGCGAAGCTCCGCTTCACCTCTGTGTAAAATTCGCTGGGCCACTAGTTTACTCCCAAGCAACCGTGCCGCAGATGTGGGAACTTGATACTCCTAAGCTAAACAGTTTTGTTTTCAAGTTGTTTTTACAATTTTTTCTTTATTTCACTTTGTTTTGCCTGTTGAGAGCTTTTTTGCATCTTCCTCGCTTTCGTCTGCGAAGCGCAGCTTCACCTCCGTGTGAAATGAGACTTAGGCTAGTGATTTTTTCATATGTAATAGTAAACTTTACAAAAGCAATTGAAGTGTTATGCAACAAAGCCAACTTTTCTCGGGATCTTAATTTGGTAGTTTTGGCGGTGATTTTCAGTAATAGCTGGGTAGCGTTTGTTGATTTTTTCAGGTTAAAGAACGAATTCAATTTTTCCATTTTGATAGTGCTTTTTCGTTCATCAATAGGGAGTTTTAACAAGAATACGCTCTTGTTGTACTACGATTTCTCTGATTTTTCCAACCTAAATTGCAATTTCTGTTTTCATTTGCTTGTTAGCTGTATGACGTTTAAAATTTATTAGGCGAGGGATTTAGTCGTATGAATTTAATCAAATTTATTAACGCACTCTATGCTGCCTGGTTTTTCCTTTCGGACGATGTATTGGCTACTTGAGAAAGCAGTGCTGATGGTAGCTTTATTACAATCTAGAAGAACGTTTTCAAGAGTCGATGAACGTAGTTTAATTAAAGGGGATTTCAATTTAAGATTTTCAGCATAATAGAAAAAAAAACTGATCAAGTTTTTTCAATTGAGCTATTATGATCGAAAAAAATGTCACGTATAAACTTCTATTGAAAATAGAAGAGCATTCAGGGCACATTTTTTTAATTTGCCATGTCATACATCATGTTTAGATTTATCAGTGGAAAGAAAAATTTACCTAATAATCAAGTTTCTCGAATGGTATGTTTACTCAAAAAAATATCAATCATTAATTGCTCCTGAAATTTCAACGGCCTTTAGAGCATATGTTTTAGAGTAATGAACGTAGTGACAGCTCTTTCATAGGTCGTATTTTTTCCAGGAAAAGCTTTAAGTTGTTCACGCTCAAATTTGACTTTTTGCGGTTTGACTAATGAATTTTTTGAAAGTTCAGTTCATTTCTTTTGTCATTTCCTTTAATGGTAAACTCCACTTTCGAATATCAAAACAGTAAAGGTCACGAACAACATGATTGACTTCTAGTTTCGAAGGTGGTTTTCTTGTTCAGATTTCCCAGCGGTAGTAAAGTTGTACCAGTTTTCTGAAATTAGTTAGTTGATCATAAGTTGATCAAGCACCAATCATAAGTTGATTTTGAAATTCAAAGAGCTTTAAAGGTATTTTTTTTTTAAATTTTGAAAGTTAATCTGTTTTCTAATAACAAGTCAATTTTTTCAGATTTTCTTTTTTTCCCAATGATCTCGGCTTTGTTTCAGTTTGAGATTTACCAGTGAAATTACAAGTATCAATCTAGTTCTTTTAATTTTGGTTAGTTTTGTAAAAACTTCAATTTTTAAATTTTGGTTGTTTCGACACTGAATTTTTTTTTCGCGATTGTATTTGTGACTTAAATTCAAATTCATTTGGCAAAGGCAACTAATTTTTGCTCTGGATTTTGGTTTCTTTAAAGTTCAGTTCTTTTCCTTTGTTAAAAGCAAGGCAAACTCCTCTATCGAACAGTAAACGTGTAAAGGTCACTAAAATTGTGATCGCGACTTCTAGTTTCGAAAGGAGTTAAAAGGGCAGACTTTCCGTTTTTTCTAATGACTCAGTTTTCTCAAATTGGGTTACATTATCAAAAAAGTGCTGATCAAAATTTGTATTTGTTTTCAAAGAGCTTCAAGAACATCTATTTGTTTTTGAAATGACTAAGTTGAAGTTTTTTCAAAATAAAACAAGTCAGTTTTGTTTTTCTGTTTAATAGCGTTCTTTGACTCCCTGCTGTCTGTTGGCTATGATTCATTAATTGGGATTACTCTGACTAAAAACGCCAATCATTCACAATTGATGAAAGTAAACGAGTTTTAATGTGAT